AATCTAATATTCATACAGTATTAAATCAATATTGCTAAATATATAGACATATTGGCTAAATAAGAGAAGGCGTCCATCTTACAATATTGGACCAATATTGGGAATGCTAGATTTACATTATTTCCGAATATTGCGCCAATATATTGTGCTACTAGGATAAATAGAAAACACCAAAAATAGCCTTTCTTGGACAGAAAATAATTAGACACATACTTGGCGCCCTTTCTTACCTTTTTAAAAAGGTAATTTTGTAAAAAAAAAAGGTTCTGTATGCATTTATTCTCACTGCCGTCCCACGGAAAACCGCGTGTCGTTCGTGAAAACTTGCGTATCCAGGCGAAAGCTGTGCGGAGAATACAAATGAATGCACGTTTCAGGGAAGGACTGATGCTGGGCATGGGAAATCCCCTCCTGGATATCTCAGCGAACGTGGACGATAAACTTTTACAAAAGTACGATCTGAAGTCTAACAATGCCATTCTCGCCGAGGAAAAGCACAAGCCTTTGTACGAGGAGATAATCGATTTATACAATGCCGAGTTTACCGCGGGTGGATCCGTACAGAACACTATGCGAGTGGCGCAGGTAAGATCTGCACTTTCAGGCCTCTGTCCACGATGCTGGAACTTGGGTCCAAGTTCCAGTTTCGAGAAATGTGTAGCCAATCAGTTTGCAGCTATTCCATAAAAGCTGCAAGTTGATTGGCTTCACATTTCTCGGAACTAGAACTTGGACCACGTTCTATCATCACGGACCTTTACTCAGGAATCGCTAAATTGATTTCAAGAGAAAAACGGTAAATAATCGCTGTATTCGCGCTCACGCAGTGGTTCCTGCAAAAGCCAAGAGTTGCCACCTACATGGGCTGCGTCGGCAGGGACAAGTACTCGAAAATCCTGGAGGACAAGGCGACCGGGGACGGCTTGAACGTCCGCTATCAGTACACCGATCGGGAACCGACCGGCACGTGCGCGGTGCTCATTACGGGGAAGGAACGCTCCCTGTGCGCCAATCTGGCTGCGGCGAACTGCTTCTCGCCGTCGCACTTGGAGAAGCCGGAAAACAAGCACCTGATAGACATCGCGAGATACATCTACATATCGGTAAACGCCAAAGATTTCCTAATGAACGTACAAGAGCTGAGCGAATCGCGAAACGTCATTAAATCTGTTACTCTGTGTCCCAGGGATTCTTCCTGACGGTCAGTCCCGCGTCCATACAAACGGTGGCCAAGCACGCGTACGAAAACGACAAGATGTTCATGATGAATCTCAGCGCGCCGTTCCTGTGCGAGTGCTTCCAGGCGCCAATGATGGCGGCGTTTCCCTACGTGGACATCCTGTTCGGGAACGAGACGGAAGCGGACGCGTTCGCGAAGGCCAACGGTCTTAACGCGTCCGACAGAAAGCAGATCGCGCTGAAGATATCGGAAATGGAGAAGATCAATGACAAGCGGAAGAGGGTCGTCGTGATAACGCAAGGTGCGGAGGCGGTGCTCCTGGCCGAGGACGGGACGGTGACCGAGTATCCCGTGACAAAACTGTCGGAGGAGATGGTCGTGGACACCAATGCCGCCGGGGATGCCTTCGTCGGAGGTGAGCGCGCGGCGAGCCTCGCCACTGCAGCAATTTGCGAGTTGTACCGACCGGGAAATTCTGTTGCAGGCTTCCTCGCGCAGCTCATACAGGGCAGAAGCACAGACACGTGTGTAAAGTGCGGCATTTGGGCGGCGACGCAGATCGTACAAAAGTCCGGATGTACTTACGAGGGAAAGCCGAGCTTCCAATCTTGATGGGCGCCAACGCGGTAGCTGTTATAAATTGTGTACTTAATAAACTCCTTAATAATTGTTTTTTTATCCCTATCTTTTGTATCGGAGCTTTACGAGTGCAGTCGCAGCCGGGATGAATATAAAGGCATTTATATTTATTGCAATTCAGCAGACGTGTCTTTTTATTGGTACTGAAGGGAAGCGTTCGTGCGGCCACGTCGGATCGACGGCGTGATTTCGTGGGAAAGCGAAAAAAGGGAGGAACCGGCGGTTATAGGATTAAAGAGACCAAATCGTCCCGCGGGCCTGCCGGTCGCCGTGCGCCCGCCCGCAGACTCAAACTGCGCATTTCTCCCTCGCGCGTACTTACATCGCGGCGCGCTAATTTACATACTGTCGGGGAAAATCAATACAATCACCGAGGTATGTAGATATTATACCGAGAATTTGCCGGTTAGCTTCGCATACGAGCGGCCGCCGCTCGCGTCGGGCGATACCGTCCGGGAGCGTAGGGTATTCAATTATGCGAGACGCCGCACGCGTGCGTCGTGCGGGCGTTACGATATGCGGCCAAACTGCGGAGTTTGGAGCAGGACGGAGACCGTATATCGAGCGGCGGGAGTGAGCGGGAGAGAAAGGGAGAGAGGGGGAGAGCGCGCGGGACGGATGGACGGCCGCGGAAAAGGGACGGTTCTTAAAAAAAAATCAATAATCTCATTACGAAATTGCATTGGACATGCCGTGCGTTTTGCATATAAACAGCGCGAGTAACGCGCGTCACTCGCCGCACCGGCAGTGTCGTATTAAACCCGGCGCCCGCCTCCGGCCGGCCTCCGGCTGTGTGCACAGGCACCTTTCGGTCGGGCAGTTATGATCGTTCGGACGCGGTACTAGTGCCGGTTCGCTTCAATCGCGCTTCCTCGCTTTCTTTTCGAGCGGACGAGGAGCCGCCGAGGGTAGACTAACGTTAGATTGACCCAAGGGACCCGTCGCTTTTCCGTGATCGGTTAGTGGTCTGTTCTAAATGGAGCTATCGATTTCCATTTAGTGTGATAAATATATCCACGCGTCTTTTATGCGAAAGCGACCTTTCGAGGCCGAAACACCCGACGCGGCGTGTAAATTGTCTGTTCGTTTATTCATTCGCTCGCACGAATCTCCGTTAAGTCGAATTGTCCTTACGTCCCCTGCATTTTAAGAGAGGGAGAGTCGTTTGTCGAGCTCTCCGTCAGCGGGCTGACAGTATTTATTATTTTAGCGTTAAAATGAGTCGACATCGTCTCGCTACCTGGGGCTCGGTTCTTGAACTCGTTGGAAGAAGAAGCGTATGCGAGTATTCTGCTCTTACAGTAAAGTTGATTGGCTATGCGCGTGGCTTCCAACTTTTCCCTCAGAATACGATTTTCGCAAATTGTATTCTGTTTCTCTATCGAATGAATCCAAGAAACGAGCCCCTGAGCTGGAACAGGTCGTCTCGAGCGTTAGATATAAAAACCTCGGAAGCAAAAAGAAGAAGTGTCTAACGCACAGAGACGGAAGAGCAACAGGAGGGAATTTAAATCTAGGGAGAAAGAAAAAGTGTCGCCGAGTCCGATTCTTGAATCATTCGCAAAAAAGAATTGAATTGCAAAACTCTGCTCTTCAAAGAACGTTGATTGGCTATTTGCACGACTCAGCCAATCGACTTGCGACTCTTCTGTAAGGGTCTGAGCAGAATAGCTGTCTTAAACCTTTAAGACAGCCTTAAGACAATGTTTTATGTTTTAAGCCTTTGTCTTGAAATATGGGCCTGAGCAAAATGGCTGTCTTATACTCTTAAGACAGCTTTAAGACAAAGTTTTATGTTTTAAGCCTTTGTCTTGAAGTATGGGCCTGAGCAAAATGGCTGTCTTATACTCTTAAGACAGCTTTAAGGCCGGTATTCATAGTCGATTCTTATTTCAAAATCATCTCAAGTGTTGTCTTAAGATGCTGATACGGCTCTGTGATTGGTTGAAAACACATTAAGAGTATACTACATGTACTGTATGTGTGTATTGCTCACGATTATTTCTTATTAGACTTACAAACTTAGTTTCAGTGATGCCATATTGTTCTTTAATTTATCCGGAATAGCAAGCTGCTTTCGATCTGTATACGTGCTATTTAATTTGTACATTACACAAATGTTTCCACGAAACAGACAGTTTTAAGTGCAAAAGGTGCAAAAGTGCAGAATCACTCCAGCATCCCCTTAAGGGGATGCTGTGAAAGGAGTGATTCTAGATTCAAGAAATGATAGTGAGCAACACACACATACATGTGGTATGTGTGTTGCTCACTATTAATTTTTATTAGACTTACAAACTTATAGTTTCAGTGATGCCATATTGTTCTTTAATTTATCCTGACTAGCAAGCTGCTTTCGATCTGTATACGTAACCCAGTGAGAAATGATTCGTCGATCGATGTCAAAATGATGTCGAATCGACATCGATACCGTCAAATTGACGTCGATTCGACATCGTTTCAACATCAATCGACGAATCATTTCTCACTGGGAATTGCCATTTAATTTGTATATTACACAAGTTTTTCCGCGAAACAGATAGTTTTAAGTGCAAAAGTGCAGAATCACTCCAGCATCCCCTTAAGAGTACGAGACAGCCATTCTGTCCAGGCCGTAAGAACCGAATTTCCGCGTACGTTTCTCCCGCCGAATCACTCGAGCCCCGGGGGGCAGGAAAGAGTGAGCGAAGCGTGTATGTACGTCCCTGTCTCGACCGCGTTGCGTTGGCACTCGCCTGTCGCCCCGGTCGGGAAGCGAACGGCCATACAGTCGCGTACCGGACCGGTGCTGGACGGCACCGCGTGTTCGCCGTTGCCGCGCGAACCCGGAGCCTCGGCTTCTCGTCGCGCAGCACCGCGCGACGCATCGGGTGCCGGCGGGCGAGCGCGCGAATTTGTGCACACGCACACGCGCCCGCCGCAGATTCGTATTTCGCGCGCGCTGCGTACGTACGCGCGACACCTGTAACCGGCGGCGTGTTCGTGTACAGTCGGGCGCGTTAACGGCGCATGTCTGATGCCCCTCGGCTCGCGAGAATCGCAAGTTGCGAGTCACAGTCGGTCCTCGCTGCGCGTCGGTCGTGAGAAAACTGTTACGAGTTTCGCACGCTCGGTGGGTTCGTCTCTGAAGAGCGGGGAGTATTGTCGCGCGGCATCCCTGCGAGTGCGTCGGTGTTGTTAATTTTATACGAAGAGAAACGCAGTGTGAGTTTTCCCTTTCCCATCGCTCGTTTACCTTCCACGTGGCGCGAAATCGTTACCGCGATTAGACTTGCTTTCTGTTCCTACACTGGTTAACTAGTGCAATAAATACGAGTAATGGCTCGTCGACACGACAAGGCGTAAGGCGTTGGAAATAAAATTATTTTATTTAGCTTAATTGTGCCGCTGCGCCGCTACTTTCGGAAACAATTTCCTCTGCGCGACTGAGCTCGGCTAAATTCGTTGTTTGGCTCTTTCCGACTGTTACTCTAGAAAGAGACAAAACCTGAGTTAAACTAAAATTAAAGTTAAGCGACGTTGCGTGAAACCGGACCTAACCGTCGCATTCTTTCCCTTCTCTCTCTCTTCGAACAGGTATTACGTCATAGCGTCGGCAGCCGCACGTGGTCTCGAGCACGAGCGCGTCCGCGTGCAGGATCGGCGATCGCGGGACGTTAACGCGCCCGATCGTACGAGGAACGTATGTACGCGCGTCGGGGCATATGCACGCATTAATCTAACACACGATCGGCTCGCGGCGCGCATACGTGCAATCGTAGTCGCGTACGCGCGCGCAATACATACAACACCGTCGCGTTCGACGGACGCCACATGTGATCGGTGGCCGCGAGAGTGCGTAGTGTGCGAGCGCGCGCGTGCGTCGGTGTGGCGGTCGGGTGAGACGCCGCGCCGCGATTGGCCGAGGGGAACGCGTGCCGCTTACGGGCCGTTCCGTGTGTTTCGTGCTTCCGTCGTCGCGAGCCGGAGGAGCGCGCGGTGTGCGCAGTGCACTCCCCACCGCGTGCGCCGTAGTGTGTAACCCCCGCGCGACCGCCATCTTTGTCAAGTGGGTAACCTTTGTTGATTTGTGTGAAATGTGACGCCGTTGTCGCGAGATAATTGGTGATCGTGATTACGTATCCCGTGTGCACGGTACAGCCCGGTGGACCCGCGCCCGCGACGCGCTCTTTATGGATTTATCGATGGGATCGCCGCGCACAGGTAATGTCCGCCCGCCCGCCCGCGGGCCCGTCGCGAACGCTGGTACGTGCGTGGAGAAACCACGCGCGCCGTCGTCGGCCCCGTCCGTCGTGCCGACGCATACGGGGCTGCCCGCGCGCGGCAGCTCGTCGCGAGGAAGCGAGCGCGCGGGGCAGACCGGGAGGGAAACGAGGTCGGGGGACGGCAGATCCTCCTGCGTCGTGTGTCCCGCGCGACGTTGCTCTCGCGGCATCGTACGTTTTTTCCGCGGCCCGGGACCGCGGCGATCTCGGGGCGGAGGAGAAGGACGCGCGGCCGCGCGTCGGCGACGCCGCCGTGCGCGCGGAAACGCCTGGACGGCGCGCGAGGGTGCCCGCCGAGCGGAACGGAACCCGAGAAGCGGGCCCGTGCGACTCCTGCCTCAAGATGGCTGCCCGTCGCTCGGGCTCCGACGGTGAGCCGCTCGCTCTTTCCCGAGCTCTCTCTCTCGCTCTCTCTCTCGCTTCTCGTCCGCCTCGGCGACGTCCGCCCGCGACGCGTCCTCCGCGCGCCGTCGGCGACCCGTTCGACGTCCCGACGTTCGCGCGAGGCGTTCTACTCGCGCGCGCGCGCGCGCGCCCTCCCGCCTCGGCTCTCGACCCGTCGGAAGCGGCCGTCGCGTCGCTCGGCGACGGCCGTCGGCGACGAGGTCGGATCCGATCGTCGGCCGCCGAAGCGCGCGCGTCGATACACGCTCGCGGAGCTCGACTCGTGCGGCACGGCTCGCCGTGGGCATCCCGTGCGAGAATAGCCGCTCAAAATGGCTACCCGTCGGACGGCCAAGTGCCGTTTAACGCGCGGCGGCGGCAGTGGCGGCGGCGGCGGTGGGCTGGCTCGCGGCGAGCTCGCTTTATCGCGTTCCCGCGATTTCCCATCGCGCGCGCCAATTCGCGTCCCGCCGCGGCCAGTCGATCGATCCGCTCGTCCGCCCGCTCGCCCGTCCGTCCATCCATCCATCCATCCATCCATCCGTCCGCCCGTCGGTCCCGTCTATCTGTCCGTTTTTGTCTCTCCACTCTCGGAGTTACATCTCTCTTTTTTTCCGCCTTTTCGCGTCGTCTCGATCACACTCCGCCGGGGCGAACGAACGACGCGACGGCGAACGCACACTCCGCGCGTGCACGCTTCGCCGAGCGACGGGCGGCAGCAGTTAGTTAGGGTCGCTCACGACAAACCGCTCCTCGGTAGCCGACGGCAGCTGGCTCGTTCTCGCTCTCCCTCTTTCTCCCTCTTTCTTTTTCTCTCTCTCTCTCTCTCTCTCTCCCTCTCTCTCCGTTTCTCCGCTCTTCTCCGCGTCCTCACCTTCGGCCTCCACCGTCACTCGCCCGCTCGCTCACACGCTCGTTCGCTCATTCGTTCGTTTGTTTGTCGGGTGAGAGGGGCCCCAACAAACACGCGCAGCCGGCGCGGCCTCTCCTCGCCCTCGGCCCCATCGTCTTAACCGGACGAGCCACGGACAAACAGACGGACGTGTTCGTTCAGCCGGTATTTCATTTCGCCTAATAAGATAGCAACGCGCGAGCGGAGAAAGACGGCGAGCGGAGAGGAGAGCGAAAAGCGCGGGGCCGCGGCCCGTCCGCTCTCGCGCGGCCTCCTTCCGTCGCTTTCTATATTCTGCCTCTGCCCCCCCCCCCTCCTCTCTCTCGCTCTCTCGCTCTCTCGCTCTCTCTCCGTTCTGTCCTACGCAGTAATCGATCCTTAAACTCGTCTACGGAGGACCTACTGTCCTACGCGCCTGTCAGGAGGGTCCGGTAACTTTCCCATTCAACGCGAGGCAGGTTCGGACGCGCGTCCTTTGCGCCGTCCTTCGTGTCGCGTGGCACTTCCGCCGCCACGAAACGTGGATTATTTCCGCGCGTCCACCGGGGGATCCCCTGGCGAGATCGAAGACGCGCCGGTTTCCCCGCAGAGTTCGGCGTCGCGGAATCTGCCGCGATCTCCCCCCCTCTCTCTCTCTCTTTCGCGATAATCCGCTCCGAAAGTATGTCGTCATTCATCACGGAAAATCTCTTTTTTCCCCTTCTTGCGCCGACCCCACCGCGCGCTCGTCAATGGAACGTTAAAAGTCCGCGCCGCATAGTAAGGATGCGAGTACTATGGTATCTCTCTCATTGAAGCCGCACGATAAAACTCCGGCGATAAACGCGCGGCGTGTCCCATTGACGTTTTCGCGCGCGGCGCGGATCGTTTCTCCCCCGAGCGTTTTCTTCTCTCCCCGCGGCCCGTGGCGCCCCGCACGCATTCGCCCGCGTTCGAAAGGCTTCCAGTTTCCCGGCGGTCCGCGTCTCTCCGTTCCGGAGAATCCGGGGATTACGACTCGGTCTCGCGGGTGCGCGCGGTGCCGCGCGACTACGGCGACTTCCACGGGCGCGATAAGCCGCTTCGCCGCGATTAGTCGGCATTAGTCAACACATCGGAATTAGTCCCCCCCCCCCCGCATAGCGGTTCTCCGCATCTCAAAATAGAGCGACGAAAGATAATGGGTGCCAGCCGCTAATCGGCGTCGTTGGTTGCAACGGGGAGCCTTGGAGTGCGTCGCCGAATTGCGTCACGTCGCGTCATTCTTCCGGCGATAATAACGCGAGCCGCGTAACTGGCCTCTTTTTCCTCTTCAGGTATTGCTCGCCGATAGAATTTTCCGCGCGGCGGTTCGAGCGTTTAGTCGGCGCGGTCTATCGATGAGGAAGAAAGAAAATCTGCACGCGAGATTCCGTTGGTCGTCGCGTTTTCGGGACTGGGGGAGAGCTCTCGATCCTCGGCTGCGTTCAGGAACGTCACCCGAGCGCCCCAGTGTATCGCTTTGTCGTTGTTGCTCGCCGTATGTTAAGCAAGGATAAAACGATACGCTGGGACACTCGGGTGACGTTTCTCAACGCGGCCTTACACGTTGGCGCTTTAATATTTACGTTTGTGTACTTCGACCCATTCACGATCACCGAGACATTCAGGTGCCACTTGTACTTTTTGCCTCTCGTGGCTCCTTGGGTTGCCCACTTGAGAGTAATAACAAAATTGCAAGTGAACTTGACCGTTTTACGTGAACAGAATAAACAAGAAACTGGCTCGACCACGAATGGATTAACACGATCGTGAAAATGTCGAATCGCTTGAGGAACAAGCGCCCCTCCGTTCGGGGCGACGGTTTCCCTCCAACGTACGCGCGTTTCAAACCAGTCGATCCTCGATTGTTCGAGAATGGGAAAATTCCGGCGTTACGGTACATTACGCGCGGCGCCTCAGGCCCGGTTTCTCCGACGTCGCTTAACTTGAAGCCTAGCCTGATTCGTTCCCTGGTCTCTTTCCCCACTGTTACTTTAGAAAGAGACAAACGTGAATGAAAACCAATAACGAATTCGGCAGCTTGCACTAGTGCGCACAGAGTGCACAGAATGCACACCAAGGCTTGCTCAGAGTCTACTCTTATATTGTATTTATGGCCATCTCGAGTAAATGTCCACAAACCATTTAGTAAAAAAAAAAAGATACGTACGAATGCCGTACAGGTCAGTTTACTGGCTGAGAAGTATTTAAAAAAGTATTCAAGACGATCCTCAATCCGCTAAAGAGAACCGGCATTTTTCCATTGAAATTTGTAATTTTGTAAACAGAAAATTTATGCATACATGTAATCTACATGTTCCGCAAAGTTTTCAAGTTTGCTCCGGGCCGCTGTAGTGGCCAGTCCGGCCCTCTAAAGGTTAAACATAAGAATTGACTGTGAACAAGTCTCAGTCTGAGTAGACTGCGTCACTCACTGAGCGCGCATCAGTGCAAGCTTCCGAATTTGCTATAAGACTAAGATTAAGCGACGTGAAACCGGGCCTTGCTTGGGCTGCGTTCAGAAACATCACCCGATTGTTGCTCACCGTATGTTAAACAAGGATAGAATGATACACTGGGGCACTCGGATATTTCTGAACGCAGCCTTGGAGAACGGTCGGTTGCCGGAAGTCGGCAGAAGTTTTGGCGGGAAACCGGCGGCGGTCTCTGCGGGAATTGCGGACGTCACTCGCCAGAATAGCACGCGCACGTGGTGAGGAATGTCCCGGTTGGTGGCCGAGGGTTTAGAACGAAGCCGGTTTCGCTGTGTGCGGTTCCACGGTGGCATCTTCTCTTGTTTCTTTCTTTTCCTCCTCGCCTGCCCCGGCGGGTGTCGGCGCTTAAACCGCCGGTGTGTATTTATTATCACTGGCCTAGGTCAACCCGTATCGCGGCTACATCGGCGGCACGCAGCTGTCGTTTGATTCCCGCATAATTAATCCTTTTCGCGCTCGCCCGATCGCGGCGTCGGACACGTTTCCTGCCGAGACTTTCACGTCCATTGACATTTTGCCGAGTATTTGATCCATGACGTACGTGTTTCGGAAATGTTCAGAGAGTCCAAGTTATTACCGCAGCGCGCGAAATAGTATATTATAAGTGCACGGAAAAGTACCTCTTTTTTTGACAGTTACGTGTAAAAACTTTTGAGGCTAACCTGTCATCTGTCGAAGACGGCGTGTGGAAGAGAGATCGGCAATTGTGCTGGGAGATAAACAAAAACAGCGCTAATGTGTGCGGTAATAATTTTACCGCACGGCTTTTTCCGCACAGTTGACGCCATGTTGCGTGCAAACTGTATTGTGTCGGCAAATGTCTATTTTGGGCACGAAAAACTGTCAAAAAAGAGGCACTTTTCCGTGCACGTGTGATATAAAAATTATTACCCCTCTACACGGAGAGAATTTTCTCTTAAAGCCTTCACTGAAGATCACGTAGTCGTGGGGCAACGTGGCATTTTGAAGAACTTTATGAGAGTATTTTGAAATTTTACTATTAAAGTGTATGGTGAAATTTCACAAAACACTCATAAAATCCTTCGAAATGCCGCGTTATCCCACGATTACGTGATTTGCAGGAAAAATAAAGATTTTTCGCGAAATTTAACTTCAAATTGGTCAGTTGGTACAGTAGGCTTGATAACTCGAATCATTTTATTGTGTTAAAAATAACTCTTATATTCAATCCCTGATTTTCAGGATAAATTTAAAGAGAAGATTATCTCCGTGTAGCTTCTAATGCATCTCCTACGTCAGGTTCGATTCATGAATCGAGTAAATGTGAGCTAAGTTATCTTGCAATTTTAAGCTGCGATTGTTCAAAATTTGCCACGGACGTGAATCGATTTGTCTTTTTATTTTCGATTTTAGAAAAGAAGACTATTTTTGCGCGAGACAGCTCAGATCACATAAACTTGATTACGTCTAACGACGTAGGCGGGGGAAGGGTCTGAGCAGAAAAATTGTCGTAACCGTTTATGATTCCGTCGTAAGAATTGTAGACTTAGAGGAAAGTCCCCTATTATCTGTTTAGTAGAAAATTTAATTATTAGATCGTGTAATCGTTGCGAAAGAAGACTTGTGATTGAATTTGGGTGTTGAACACCTGCTGTCTCATTAGAAACCTATCTCATAATTGAGGACTCTATGTTGTTACACGATGCGACGGATGCGACATACGTCTACGACAATTGCTTGTTGACTCCCGACACCGGCTTAAGTTTTACGACGGAGTCGCAAACGGTCACGACGATCTTCCTGCCCAGGCCCGAAGTAGGTGTGCGTACAGCCAAAAGGAGACGTAATTCCGGATTGCGCGGACTATTATCCAATTGCTAAGTGAGCGCGATCTCTTAACGCGATTTCCGTCAGCGATCGAAGCCGCGCATACGCGATGCGGACGTTGCACGAAAACGGTGGGTGGTCTTTGTCTCCTCTCGAACAATGGATCTCTCCGGCGACCTACGGCCGAACTCTCCTTACTTGAGAATTGCGCTTCGTGTAGTCCGCGCGCGCGTTGGATAAACGCCGTATACACGTGCTCGATCGGGAGCGTTTAGGCCACGCGGCCGCCAGTGCCCGGGCGCATTGTTTCTCACGCTTAGGCGGGCAGAGCTGACTCTCGAAGCTAACAAGAGAGTCGGTCGACCTTTCCTCCGGTTTTTTCCTTCTCTCTTTTCTTTTTCCACGCCGAAAGATCGGCGGTCAAATATTACGACGTGACATCTCGAGGAAACGGACGAGAAATATAGTTTCCTGGTTTTTCAAAAGTTGGTCCTGAAAAGACCCTTTCTGGGCCAACGCGCTTCTTGCCTTCATAACGAGACTTTAAAATGTTACAACGCATTCTACTTTGAGACGTTACAATGCTCTCTTGGTTCTCGGAAAATTACTTTCGATCCTAAGAGAATTTGAGTAAGAATAAAACACGGCAGATAATATTGGAAATTATTGGGCAGGCATGTGTGCCTGCTGAGGATATTAATTCGCAGAGGAAAGTCCCCTATTATGAGATAGGATTTTATATGGGATAGCGGGGTTTCTGTTGAATTATCAGGCATCATCAGTCGATTCCGCCATGAATTTATTGCCCTTGGAGCGAAAAAAGATTTGCGATTGAATTTGGGTGTTGGAAACCTGTTATCTCATATTAGAAATCTATCTCATATAAGAACTTTTCTCTATATATAAATTTATATAGTGTTGATTTATCTGTGGCAAACTTTTCAATTTTAAGAAGAAAAATTCTAGGTGTGCGTCATAGAATAAATAATTTGAAATCACTAGAAACGCTGCCAATAAGAAATAGGCTTCTAACGTTGGTCATGTTCTTTATTTTGTCTTGTTTATCATCCTTTTGCCATCTTAGGTTTTCATTCTTTCATAGCCCTTTAACCTTGACTACTGATTTACCGACCTGATGTAAAGAATTGGAAATGATCTTAAACAACAATAGACGATCTCTCTTCATTTTATCAAGAAGAGCTCCGCGTTAAAGCGGTCGAACGTGTGAAGAAGCGACTCGCCAGGTTCGAGACCACTTCATTCGCTGCATCTTCGAAGTTTCTCAGTGGGACGGTTGCCTCGGGGATGAACCGACCTGTTCTACTCTATTCTCAGTGCCTAAAGCGCACGAAAAAATCTGGGCAGTGAGACTTAAGACTTAAAGAAAAGTGACCAACGACAGTCGAGAACGTAAGCAGCCATTTTGAGACTTAAGCAACACTGAAAATTCCAATTGGGTGAAATTCTCAAGTCTTAATCTCTAAAAGTCAATCAGTGGATTATCACTGAAAACAGTGAATAGTAATTTTGTGACTCAAGCAGTACTAAAAATTCCAATTGGTTGAAATTGTCAAGTCTTACTCTTTAAAAGTCAATCAGTGAATTATCACTGAAAACAGTGAATAGTCACTGGTTTACAGTTACAAGTATACCACTGCACTTTTCAGTATACATATAACTGCAAATCATACTGTTTCCAGTGATAATACGCTGATTGATTTTCAGAGAGTGAGAAGTCGTTTGCAATACGTGGAGTAAGCTTGGAGCAAGGAGTAAGAGAGAATCATAACTTCTAACTTTTGGTGTAAGGAAGCTAAAATACGTGTAAAATATTTCTAACCCTGGCCGATGGCGTTCCGATTCACCGAGAGTAAGCGTAAGGGCTGAAGTAGGAGTGAGAAATAAAATTGATTTATTTCCTCGCTCCTACTTACTCCAGGCTTACTCCATGCATTGTAGACGACGCATAAGTCTTAGGCCCGGTCTCACTACACGTCGCTTAATTTTAATCTTTGTTTAATTCACGTTCGCCTCTTTCTAAAGTAACAGTTGGAAAGAGACAAAGAACGAATGAAGCTAATTGTAAGCTTGAAGTTGGACAACATTGGTGAAACCGGGCCTTACTGCTGAAGCTTTCAGCTTCACCCTAGCGTTCCGTCGTATCGCGACCGCGGCGATTCACGCGACCGACTTTAATAAGCCGCGCGCGCGGCTCCGAGCTGTTCGCGCGTTGCGCAATACTCGCTGTCGAGCACGGTGATTTTAAATATTTGCTCCGTACCGCTGTGTGTGCGTGCGCGCTGCCGCGCGCTCACGCGCGCACGCACGTAGGTACGCATCGCGCGCGCGCAGGAGAAAGTTCATCGCTCAGAGGGGAAACCGGACAAGTCGTTTACGACTGGAGTCGAAAATCGCGTGACCCGATCGTTTGTAAGAATCGAACGCGCGGCGTTGTATAACGCCGCGTCAGCGGCGAACAAAGACGCGCGCCGAGCAAATCGGGATAATACGCCGGATTCTGAAGCCGGCGAGCACGCGAGGGTGATCTTCACGCTCGGTGATCTTCTGATGATTGACCGAACGCGAGGAGCAGCGAGTCTAACTCGACGGGCGTGTAAAATTTACTTTAGCGCTGCCACGTGGATATCGACACTTTTTAAAACGTTTCTACACGGGAAAGAAATGCTGTTGAATTGAAAAAAATGAAGTTGCTTGTTAACGCCACGGGCTGCCACAAATATAAATAATTTGCTCACTTGTATTTGCTATGGATGTTAATTTTAAGCATTGAACTAAATATTCAGATTATTACGGCAAATGTTGCTTCAACGATTTTATTTCAATTACACCGATCTTGTTGATACATAATTTTTTCCCGTGTAAGAAACGTACACTGAGAGAATTGTCTCTTAAAATGTATCCTGAAAATCATGTGATCGTGGGACAACGCGGCATTTCGAAGAATTTTATGAGAACAATGAAGGAGTATAAATCGCCAGTAGTTAAGTAACAGAAGAAAGAATTGTTAGACGACATTAGGCTGTCAGATGGTTTATTAGTTTGATTCCGTTTTTAATTAAAAATTGATGACGTAATATCTGTAAGTAAAATTTCACTTAGCTCGTTAATCTGACTGATTTCATTTTGTAATCAATGTATTTAAAGTTGCACTGTCCTCTAATAAACTTGTAGATTATCAAATTCCTTGATAACGACCACAACCCGATCGAAACGTCGGAATCAAACTAATAAACCATCTGCCAGCCTAATGTCGTTTAACAATGTTTTTTTCTGTTAATTTTATGAGCTTTTTTTGAAATTTTACTATACATTTTACGAGTAATTACAATTACTAGTAAAATGTATGATACAATTGCCAGTAAAGTTCTTCAAAACATCACGCTGTCCCACGACTACACGATTTTAGTGACGAAATTAATTTTTTTTTTATTATCATGTATAAAGTAGGATAGTGCTTTGATCAATCGATCAGCATTGGCTCGACGATGCTGGGTGACTCCTGACTTCTACAGATGAATTTTTACGAACATTCGTAACAATATTTGCTTTACGTGACATGGGGTCTCAGCCACGTGCCTTACCCTCTCAATGGCGCTTTGCATGGATTAGGACTTTAAAATACGTACGCGGGACGACGGATCGATTACGAGTCTGCTGCTTCCACGTGGCGTCCCTCCTAGGATAATGTTTACCTGCATTAATATTTAAGTATATCGAAAACTAAATTTACCGCAATTACGCTGCACGTACTGCGTGATTATAATGCCGCGTTTTATCCCTCTGGATAAATATCTATCCGATTTCTCGGACGATATATATATATATAAAATACAAACCAGTTGCCGGACGGCTTTCGAGTTAAAGTATTTGAAATATACCTCGCGGTGCGGCATATCGGAAGGATAGTTTAGCGCCGGCGGCCGAAACTCGGCAAACTCCCACGCACGACTTTTGCAGCCCCATTGAAATTGTGCTCTCGTTTCAGGGTCAGCGCAATAGCCGGCGGGTGAGAACGTGAGGAGGCGGTGAGGACTTAGCATCCCAAGCCGGGAAACTGAAGAGCCATAGCAGAATGTAAACGTCCGTTGTCGAGCGTGACGTCGCCTATCGGCAGGAGGAGGTGGAGGCAGAGGAGAAAGGAGCACTGGCCGTGACTTCGTCGTCAGCGTCGCCGTCGTCGTCGTCGTCGCCGTCCGCGCCGTTCGCGCCGCTGACGGAGACGCGATGGACGAGTCCGAGTCGCTCGAGACATGGTCGGGCTGGTTTCTAGACGCGATCCGGAAGATCCGGAGTCAGAAACAGCGCCCAAGTGTTGAACGAATATGTCACGCGATACGGCAGCATCACAATTTCCACGAGGAGGAGATCTCCGAGCACTTGGAGATTGCCGTGAAGCGCGGCGATGTGCTCAAGATTTTCAACAAGGGCCAGTCCTCGTACAAGGATCCAGGCATTCTCCAATCCAAGAAGCTCAAGGTCGCCAAATCGACGGACATCAGCAAGGTCATGGGCAAAGCTGTGCGCGAGCTCGGCGAGCGCGAAGGTTCCACGCTGAGGAGCATCGAGAAGTACCTTAGGCAGAGTCACACCGTCGAGGAGGATACCGAGGGCGATCTCAGAATCGCACTCAAGCTCTCTGCCAAGCGAGCGGTCGAGCGGGGGCTGGTGCTCCAGGACGGCAAACTCTTCCGGCAAACGGACAGGCCGTCGGGTTTCAAGAAGTTCAGCGACGCCTCTCATACGCCGCCCGCGGAACCGCCCGCGCCCAAGGTGAGTCACTTTGACCAGCTTACGGGTCGTGCGTCGATGATGAGTCATTCTCTGAGAAGCGCGTCCTGTGACCCGTCGAAATTACCGACGAAGACGTCGACTTCCTGAGTAAAACATTAATAGGGCTGTGAAAAGATCCTGTTCAATTTTCCTTAATATCAATCGGGTCCTAATATGTATAAATGATCAGGCCCCTGAAAAGTTTGTAACAAACAGTTTATAAGAATCTTGTAAGGAAATATTATTAGGGCCTTAGAAAGGAATATTATCAGGACCTCATAAAAAAAACAATCAGGCCCTCTCAAAATATCAGTCCTTATCCTTAATCAATGTTTACCGAGCAGAAATTTCAAGAAATTAAATTTTTTAAGCTGAATTTTAAATTGTGTTAAATTATACAGTCATCAAAAGTATATTCAGGTCATTGAGTTTATCCATGATCCAGACAACTCGCTGCCGGATCATAATCGGCTCGCCTTTTATACTAATGCGGGATGATTTTCACTTGCGAGAGAGCCTATCGCGCGGTCACCACGTCGCGGCAGCGAGTAGTACTATTCAGGCTAATTTATCAAACCCTATTATGAGGGAATTCGTTAAGCTAGAGCATTCTTAATAATATCAATATGGCCCCGATGTGGTAATAGTAGAGCATCCCTGAATTCGTGAAACTAGGACAGCCTTACCAATATTTAAGAAGGCCCCGACGTGATAATAGTACACTGAAAAAAATTTCTGGTTGAATATGGACGAATCAGATAATTCCTTTAGGATTTACCAGAATTCCTTTAGGATTTACCAGAATTCCTGTAGTCCTACAGAAATTCTGGTAAATCCTAAAGGAATTATCTGATTCGTCCATATTCAACCAGAAATTTTTTTCAGTGTAGGGTTTCCCTTTTTAAGGAATCCTGTCATCATCCTTATCGGGGCCTTCAATTGCCTGAATTAGCCCTAACAATTTTTTACTCTGGTTCATTTGCGCAGTTTCATACCCCCGTGTGTTTCACGTGTCTTCTCTGCCGACCTATAGGTTTCTATCTTTCAACAGACCACGAAGAAAAAAGAAAGATTAACGTTATTTATAGTTTCATCAACACTGGACAACGTTAATCTTTTGAACTCGATTGATCCTTCTCTATCGAGACTGACTAAAACTATTAATTAGCTAGATTAGAACTATTATTACTATTGGGCCTCTTGGAGGGTTAAAGCTACGCGAAACGGTGACTTCAATGCTTATCGGTTTGATATTAGCTTGATACCAGCCAGAAGGAAGCAATGACTTTTGATAACTTGGGCTTCTAGCTTTGTACCGTGGTTTTGTCTTCGCAACCTCTGGGGCAGCTGCAATTGTGCAAACATTTTTACGACCTTGAACCTGAACTGTGTAAACCGATTACTGGATACATTCAAGTATCAAATAATAGAACAAAAGAGATAAGAAGGCTAATGAACCAAGCTAAATAATTCACTTATATATCTACAGCAATGACGTGCCAAATCGTTCGACCTAAAACGAAATCATCTTTAATGCATGACCAGAAACGATAAGTGGTCAAAAGTTTCGTCGTAAAATATAAAGAAACGCAGAGGGAAATTTGATATTCCGCCTGTAACTTTTTACGGCGCTAAAAGAATAAGTCAATTGGATGAAAGTTTTAGAGCCTCTTGATGAGATTAAAAGTGGTACTCTTGGCTGTCACGGTTCCATGTCAAGTAAATAAAAAAAAAGCAAACTGAGAACAGTTTAAGGTCTGTCCCTAGTGAAGAGGAAATAGCCGCGTGTATCAATCAGTCACGAATAAATTTAGCTCTCTCGTCGCGTTCGCCGAACGGCGTCATCGCTGTGAGACAATCGGAGCGATACGTAGAGCGATTCGTCATCCAAGTCAATCGCTACAGATTCGCCATCGGATGCCCTGGCGGGGAATTCCGCGTTGTAGGACTTTCGCGTTTCCGGTAACAGTTTTCCCCAAGTCTCGAAGTACGGGCTTCACGGGTCAGGTCGTTCTCGCATTGATCGACACAGTTGCCCGAACAATCCTCGGCGCCTAGACCAAGTTCAAGTTGCGAGACGCGTATAGGGACAGCATTGGCGTACCCGTCGAATCTAATCGCCGATCTCTTCCCACCGAGGGAAGCCGCCTCGCGTTACGCTCGGCCCGCGCGCAAACACGAACCGTGGAGCGCTCGTTGCCGGAAAAGTATTGCGCCGGGTCACGCCGTAGTGCCCACGTTCCGGCGATGTTGGGAATGTCGGTTGGCGACCGCTGGAGTGGGACGGACGGGCACGGGGGGCGAAAGGTCGAGATCGCGCCGCCGGGACGATGGGCTATCTCGGGCGACTTCCGGCGGGCTCGTTTTGTATAACGTTTCTCTCTTATTGATCCCCCGTCCGCGGAATCGCGCTCCCTTTCTTTCTCCCACCGCATTTCGAGCGCGAAAAATCGCCGCGCGCCGACGCGGGTCCCGCCGATACGCGTCCCCCGTCGCGCATCAGGTGGGTTAACCCCCGGTCCCTCTCTCCCGCCCTCCCCCCGCCGCGCCGGGAGGGCCGGTGACGGGCTCCGTACGTCGCTCGGCGTCCATTTCCCGCGCTTTTTTTTTTCACCCGCCGCGCTGCCTCTCGTCGTTACACCGCAAATCGCCGGCCGCGGGAGCGATCGATCGTCGGCCGCGCGCTGTTTTGCGAGAACGACCATTTTGAAAATTACACAGCGGGCGAGACCCGCGGTCGATTGCGACGCTCGTCAGCCGCACACACGTCAGCCCTTGGCGGCCCGCGCCAGGGGACGAGGGAGTCCGGGCTGCGAATGCCCGTCTGGAAAGTCGCGTTGATCCTCGAGCGACTCGGCGAGACGTAGTTTCATTTGCCTAGGCTCTACCAGAATGCTCGCGTTAGTCCGGTGTAATATTCTGAAGTGCATTTCTGAAGGGCGACCTCTTGACCCAACGCCCGGCACGTTTGCCGGAAGCTCGAGACGCTGGGTCGAATTTTAATTAATTTTTTTTTTCACGCGGCGTAAAACGCGTTTTAAATGCCCGCTTATCTGGCATCGTCTCGGATTGACTTCTGTGTGACTCACTGAATGTCTCTCTGATAAGTTGCATTATTCAGAAGATGCTTATTAATGTCGGTGTTATTAAATTGATTGTCAATTTAATTGCGCGATTGTATTATTTCAACTTTGAGCCGCGTTTCAGGACCGACAGTAACGACGCGTGGATCGTTGAGTTAAAAATTCACGCGGATATCAGGCGTAAAAGATCCCGTCAGATCGAGAATTGGCACATTTCTACTTGATTATTCAGCCGGACGGGTCGTAACTAGAGCCAGACGTCTGAAAAAGTGGATCTTATGATTTGATTTCGCAGTTGCTTTAATATTACGTGGATTATTGTTCTTTCATTTTACTTTTAGAATTTTATCAGTCCAATTTTAGACTAGTGATTATTTATATCGAGAGAACAATAAAAAACTACGTTCTATTGAATGATTAATGTTGACTTAGTGAATAAACATTTTACTGATCTATCTACGCATATCTAATTTATTTAACATGCCTATTTAAAAAAACTAATATGTCACGATGTACCCATGCACAGTGCGGTGCATTAATCCGCTTCGAGTCGCATTGTCAAAGAGCAACAATGTTTAAACAATTAAGCAATGTTTACCCATTTCTAATTAATATCCGAATCGAATTACTGCACCGTACTTATGTATAATCAAGAAGAGGCATTTTATGATCTGACGTATCAATGAAAAAGTTTCGATTCTTTTAAGGTTGATGTCCCAAAATTTAACGGTCGAGCCATTGGTCGCCTCAGTTACGACTTAGTTTATACGACCAGCGATATGTGGTGAGGCCGATAAAATTAACAAATTGGAAGAAAGGGCCAATGTGAGCCAAAGCGCCAGAAGGAAGCGACCGAGGGGTAAACCGCGCTGACCAAACTCATGTGCACCAACGCCTACTAATGTCCAGTGGGCATTACTTTATCTTATTATCTTATTTTATCTTTGTAATGCCCCAGCTAGGCCTGATGCCCAAACTAATGCTCCAAAATTGCCTAGTAATGCCCAGCGATGCCGCAGATCTGCACACACCACAATGCCCTCAGCGGTTTACCCCTCGGGAGCGGCGCGTTACCGCTTTTTATTAACAAAATCATTTGTTTTTGAAAGAAATTTTCTAGACGTTTCGATCCACTTCGGATCTTCTTCGGTACTGCAAAGAACGATAAGGTGCAAGATATTTATACATATAATAATTCGTCAAAATGAAAGACTAAATTAGTTTACAAATGAGTCAGATCAACACTTACAAGTAACAGAATATTGTAATAAAACGTGACGTCAACTGTTTAAATAATGATACGTAATTTTTAAACGACCTATACTGGCTAATGTTTTTACTAAAAATTCCAGACTTGGACCCTTTTCAAGTAATCTGCTAACGTACATAACTTAGCACTAAACATTTTTATATAAAAAAAAGTAATTACAACGAAAGCAAACCAATAAATTTATGCCTGTTCACACAATTGTTAATGATCTCGTTTCTTTGGCCAATATCACTATGTTAGTAAGCTGTGTACAAGCAATCATTACACTATACATTATTACGAATTAAGAAATATTGAGAATAAAGTCTATTTAATTATTATATGTAGAAACAATGTTGATATCTTGGGTGAAGAAGTCATTTCATACAAACGACTAATTTCTGAAATGTCATTTATCAAACGCCAAAAGAACAGTATCAATTTGCAAACGTACGCAGATCTGTCGAATAACATGTACGGTACAATTTTTTAATCTTCCTGACAATTTCATACTGCAAGCTTCTGATTTGGTTTCTGCTCTGATACTTTTCTTTTGGCAACCTATGCCCCCTCCTGCGCACTGTTTACACTCAACAATAGCTTAACTTCTCGGTCAATTTTAAATTATACTTAGTCATTCCGTTGCGATTGTGTGTGCCTGTCCTTTCTATCTTCGTGATAAAATTTTGGGCAGCAATTAATTTTTTGAGAAACTGGTAGATAATTGAAGTGATGAAGTCACACTTCAGTATTCTGTTATTCGTAAGTGTTGATCTGACTCATTTTTTAACTAATTTATTCTTTCATTTTGACAAATTGTTACATAAATATCTTGCACCTCGTTGTTTCTTGTAGTCCTGAAAGCGAGGTCAAAACGTCTAGAAAAGTTCCTTCCTTCGCTTCGGCTCACATCGGTCCTTTCCTCCCGTTTGTTAATTAATTTATACGATTAAGAAATAACTTTGAAATGGCCGTTTGCGGCAGACCTTCCAAAACGTAACTTTGGAATGGCAACAATTTGGAACAGTTCGAGTCTCGTTGTAGGTATGCGAGCGGCGCGATTTCGGATACCGTCGTCGGCCCGTGTTTCGCGATTAAGCTCATTTGGGCGTCCGGCGCGTCGATGATTTGTGGCGGCCCGACAATAGCGGGACAATATCGCCCTGGATCGCGATGACCCGGAGCGTGTTTCGCGCGACTTGGGCGCGGAATGAAATTAACGGGCGACGTTGGCACGTGAAGCATTTGCGGATGCGCGCGTAAGAGCGCCGATACAGCGAGTCGTCCAATCGCGCAACAGGTCGCGGCGGTTCTGGTGCGAGAAACGGAGGCTGCTTGCCCGCACGTACACTTTCTCTCTAATTTACCGTCCTCCGGACTGAAGGGGACAATAGTCCCGTGCATCTGCATTAGATCGCTGCCTCTGCTTTCAAGATGTTCAAGCAATTTAATAAAAAAAAAGCAATGAGAAATATTCGCAAATAGATCCGATTTCTTCAGAAATTAGAAGCTTTCTTTGTCCTTCGGAGACTCGAACAGGACGCGCAACCGTTGAATATTTTCTGAAATTTTCCGAGTCTAGAAGGCATTTTGATATTGAGCGCCATTCTCGTTTATATTTTACAATTAATTTACTTAGTATAATTTATATGTAAATAGAAATTTTATATAAATTAAAATTATAGAGGAAAGTCTCCTTATTATGAGACAAGTTCCTAATATGAGATAGCGGGGTTTCTGTTATATTAACAAGCATCTGATGCCACCGTGAATTTATGACGTTGAAAACCTGCTATCTCGCACAGCAGTCCATCTCATAATAGGGGGACTTTCCTCTATATATGAATAATTTTAATTTATCGTCTGCTTAAAAATATTTCCCAAGTAAATTTGCGGGGAATTAAAACACGCGAGGCCGCGCAATAGAGTTTGCAACATATTTGCGCGAGCGCAGAGAATATTTCCCGAGGAGCGCCAATGCGCGTGTAATGTGCTTTAAATGTACATTTAAATACGCATTTAGTGCACGTATTTGTCCTGCATTAAACGCGCGTTTAATGTATACTGCGGCAGCATATTCCAAAAAACCTCTGCCATTAACCGTTTATGCATAATTTTTTATCCACAAGCATGCATGAATATGGAGAATTGTATGAAATTACATATCCCAAATGTTGAATTCGCGCATTGTGAACACACAATTAATGTTGTTTCGAAGCCGATGCAATAAAACGCGCATTAAAAGCACGTTCTGTGCGCATTGGCGCTCCTTGGGTTGCGAGGGAGCATTTATTCGAAATTATCGCCGGCGTCGCTGCACCGTTGGCGCACAACGCACTCTTAATAAGATGCACCCCTCCGACGCACAAGAGTACCGTCGTGTCTCGCCAGTATTTCTGCGTTGCCCCGCCACCGAAATGAATAATTATGTTCCGCACCGGGACTCGCTCGTCTTTTGTACATGCGATACGCGATGATAGATGCTATCGAACGCCGCCGATACGCAGCTGGCGCGTAAGGACTTCGGAAGTTTCGCCGTTTAAATCACTTTGCGTTTTATACAATAGGACTTTTCTCCTCCAGGCGACGGGAGAAGTTCTCGGTAAGGCCTGACGTTGATCTCACAAGCGTGAATGCGCACAGAGCTGAAAATAAAAATCTTGTAATATCCGGTGCACACTTACGCCATGTTATAATTGGTCGTTTAAATACTTGGATTTGGATATTTTTACCTCATTGATTTATCGACTTCTGTTCCGTTTCCCGCAGTTGCCGGCTCCATTGCCGATATGCAGAGAGTGCCTCGGTGCGACGATGGCCGGCAATAACAACAACAGCAAGCGGAACGCCAACGAGAAGCTAAGCAGGTGCAGCGTCTGTGGCGCGGCGCTGCACAATTCCTGCGCGCCGCCGGAGCTCTCTGTACTCGTCGATCGGGGAATAATCTGGTCCTGCGACGACTGTTCGCCAACCTGCGCCGGCTGCCAGCTGGAGCGGGAGTCGCAGAATTATCTCGTCAAGTGTGCCGGGTGCGTGAAATGTTTCCATCCCGCCTGCCTCGATCCCGCCCTCGACAAGAAGAACAAGACGCCCTGGAAGTGTCGGCATTGCCAAACGGCGCACACGCCGGTGAGCAAGGACGACGGTAAGCGCGGCAGGGCGCAGGATGCGAGTTCGACCGAGGACACGCCGACGAGCGCGAGGAAGAGGCTCAGCAAGTTACGCGAGAATCGAAAGTGAGTGGTCGCTTGCGTCACGATTAACAAAGTGCTCTCTTTCATTCGCTTCGTACGCCTTGAATATTTTCAACTTGGAGATAGAATTGAGATAACAAAAAACATGTGTGTGTTGTAATACATTGATATGTCAGGACTAATACGCACGTTGGTGACTTGTTTTGCAGATCGATGGTATCCAGAAAATGCTTGGCGAACGCGACTCCGGGCAAGAAGGGCAGCACGGGAGTGGCTCAGGTGGACAGCAGCTCGGACGGTAATGCGGGTGTTGTCTCCCCTCGTCAACCACCTTTGATTTCCTCTCCTTTACCACAACCCCCCACCCCACTCGCAGGCCAGGGTAGGCTGCTCGAGGAAAAGAACGACAGGATCTCCAAGGAGAAGCAAAAGTTCTTTAGATTGAGCGCGTTTAACGCTGAGCACAGTAAACTGAAGCGGGTGGGGGGCGGTGATAAATCTAGGCCCTCGCGGAGCGTTAACGTTAGGTCGACCCGGGCCGGTAACGCGAACCCGAAGAAGGTCGGGTCGTCGCGAGTATCTAGCAGCAGTAGCAGCAGCAGTAGCAGCGAGGCCGGTAATAGCAGCGAGAGCTCGGACGGTAGCGATAGCAGCGACGAGGACAACGATGAGGACGACGAGGAGGGCAATAGCTCGAGCGAGAGCAGCGACTCCTCCTCGTCGGACGAAGTCCAGAACGGGAGAATCGAGTCTCCCAAGGTGAAGGCGCCATTCGCTTGTGACCTCAACGAGGACAAGCCGTGGGGCTTCGCCGCCGCCGCCGCCAAGCTGAAAGTAGAGTCGCCTTTCTTCAGCAATATCACCAACACTTTTGGCGCGTCGTTACCTAAACTCAACGTGAGCGACACGCCGACATTTGGCTTGCACATACAACAGCCAGCTATCGTCAGTCCGTCGGATAATAAAAAGAAAGACAAATCCGAGCGCAACGTCGCACAGACGGTCGGCCATGCGAGCACGGATAACAAGGTCAAGCCTGGAAGCGGTCAATTGCGAGGCCTATTCGACGGCTTGAGTCACTTTTTTTCAGCACCCGCGAATAGCAGGGCGAGATCGGCCGGTGTCCCGGCGCCGAATTACGCGCCGGACCGGAGGAAAAGGCCTAACACGGAGGATACCGCTAAAACGAACAAAGTTCCGCGGGGCACGCAGAGAAACAAAGTGGAGGACTCACCTAGTGCGAGCAAACTCAAGGATCGAAAAAAGACTGAAACTATCACTGAGATATCGAGATTACCGAAGCCCGGTATCTTTGTACCTTCCGACGAGAATGCATTAAGCTCATTTAACGAGAAATTGCCGAGGATGACGCCCTCGAGTCTGGTAAAAACTGCGGTGAACAGTAAGAGACACGAGCAGGAGAAGAGAAAGCTGATGCGAGACGACGCGTCGTCGCTCGTAAAGTGCGCCGCGGATCCACCCTCACCGTCGAGACACGAACAGCAGCAGCAGCAGCAACAATCACGAAAGAAGCAAACAGCTTCGGATCTGAGTACGCAGATACGCCACCCTGTATCCGCCGTTGCGAAATCCTCAGGCCTCGGTTCCGATCCTATCAAATCAAGTCCTAATCCAAAGTCCAATCCACGAGCCTGTACTAGCGCCACCACCACCAACACCACCACGACACCCCGCGCGACACCCTGCTCCACCAGGAAGGGTAAGAGTCTACCCCACCCGTTCACAACTTCCTAACCTCGATGATGCACCCTAAAAAAAGTCGCAATGAAGACATCCTTCTAATCTAATCCTCGCTCACGACCACGTGGATGTGTTGGCGGTGTGGTGTGGTATGATGTGTGGTACACGTGCGTCTGATGACCGATAACTTTTTTCAAGATAATGTGATTGTTCCGATGATTTTGTGGAAAAGCTACCAAAATTGTCCAGTTCAGAGACGTGTCCAGTTGGAAAAAATAATTTCAATTTCATGTCAACGACTGATTTCGGAAAGACTACGAACAATCAGGTTTCTTGATAGGACGTTTATCTGCTACACGGTGTAAAACCAGTGATAACTTGTCGATGTGTTATAGAAAAAAAAAACACGGAGATGTAATAATTGGATGATTCATACATCTCTCTTGGAATAATTTATGAAGGATTCGCTTTCATTTGTTTTACACTGTGGATTCTATTGTGGTTATTGCATGTTGTTAATCATGTTATTACTTGGCTCTGGCATTTTTTTCCTTTGTCCATGCATACATACATTTGGAGATGGCTGTCAAAATCGAGAAATACTAAAACAATTTTGAAGAATAACGTCCTTATATAGAGGCCTTCATCCTGTATTTATTAATTTAGATTTAGTTATCTCTCATTTTTCAGGATACTTGTACAGGATACACAACCATAGTCGCATCTGCAAATGTGCATATCATGTACATATAACATTCGCACAACTTTTACAGAGAAATTTTCATTGTACATTTGGACTATTCTTTATTTCGACCAAATGAAACAATATAATTATACTACAAACTACATGGTTTTCGTACACCACAGTTACGCGTAACAAGTCTTGTTGACAAGTCAACTTACGGAGACAGATAACAAAGTTCTATTTTCCCCCCAAAAAAAGAGAAAGATACATGCAAGTGTCGTCAGTTTTTTGGTTGTACATCTCACGCAAAATGGAATCCACTTTGCGTGACGCTTAATCAAACACTTCGGACCGATTCATTCTCTGTTCCTCCCTTCCTTGTACAAAAGAAAAACCGAGATACAATTTCCAGGCACTGAAGAAACACGGCACTGGGTGGCACTTATCTCACTCAGCCGCTCTCTTGTACCATTCACACTGGAGCCTACCTGCTGCTGCTGACACTTAGCAGGCACTGTTGTATACCACCGCCCCCCTACCCCTTCACGAAAAAGAAAAAAGAACGAAAAAGATCCTGCCGTCGAAGAGCCAACTTTGATACTCTGCCAACACATCCCACTAATCTAACCCACAGCTTTGCTTTGGATACTACTCACATTATTAACGGCAAACGAATTATTATACGCATTCTTTTGTTATAATACATTAGATTGCTATTGTCACCATGCTAATGCCGTTCGATTAATTTTGCTTCCTTTTTACCTGTTTGACCAATTAATTTTTCCAACAGGACGTGACTAATACCCCGTTATTTTGACATAGTTTATCCAAATCGCTATGATTAGAGTCGCGGGTGATGAACATTAGTAAAATTGCCTTCGCTTTTCGTACAAAATATTTGGAGAACGCCATTGTTATAGTAACTTCATTTTTATCTTACAACGTGCGGCATCGACTTCAACGTACTTCAAAATTTATCTTTCTAAGCTATACGCAAGAGTATATGATATTTAACGTTTAACTGTCACTGTGGAATTATTCATGACATTTCTTACGACTTTGTCAGTTCTTTCTTTTACATGGAACACATCGTTTTTCCTATGTTTTCTCATACAACAAACTACTGCAGTCGTAGGTAGCAGTGTCTCGTACGTAAAGCAATTGCATCAGTGACTTAAATATTACTGATTATAAAACTGATTGATAACATCAGAGAAAAAATAGATACAGATTGTTGAAGGACGATAATATTAAAATGCACAGGTCGCTGAACGAATTCGGTTAACACTCGTAATCATTTTCTTCTTCTTCTTTTTACAGAGGAGCCAATTGTGCCGCAAACCTTACCCCCGGGAGTCACGCAAAAGGATGTGGATCTCATCAAGGAGGCTCGCGAGAGGGCTCGGCTGACAGTCAGTAACGACGAGAACGAACAATTGTGTGTTAGTACGCCGAATGCGTCTGGCAATGCACCACGAAATCCCGCTGCGATAGTATTCGGTCGATACGAGGTGGAAACGTGGTACTCCAGCCCGTTTCCTCAGGAATACGCGCGATTACCGAAATTGTTCTTCTGCGAATTCTGTCTCAAGTACACGAAAAGCCGGGCGGTGCTGGACAGGCACATGGACAAGTGTCAGTGGAGACATCCACCCGCCACCGAGATTTATAGGTGCGATGGATTGTCCGTGTTTGAGGTATGTGCTGTAATATGTATATTGTCATTTCTCCCGTTTGATTGAGTAACTAACAGGGAATGTTTTGATATTTCAGATTGATGGTAACGTAAACAAAATATACTGTCAAAATCTGTGTTTGTTGGCTAAATTATTTTTGGATCACAAGACTCTCTATTACGACGTGGAGCCGTTTCTCTTTTACGCCATGACCAAAAACGACAGATACGGCTGTCACTTGGTCGGTTACTTCAGCAAGGAGAAACACTGTCCGGCTCAGAGGTACAACGTGTCCTGTATTATGACTCTGCCGCAGTATCAACGACAGGGTTTTGGCAGGTTTCTCATAGAATTCAGTTACCTGTTGTCCAAGGTCGAGGGCATTCCGGGAACGCCCGAGAAACCGCTGTCTGATCTCGGCAGAGTGTCGTATCATTCCTTCTGGAAGAGCGTTGTGCTCGAGTACTTGGACACGCATCGAAACGATACTAATATCAAGCTGAGCGACATCACGAAAGAGACTGGCGTGTCGGCGCACGATATCGCAACAACGATGCAATTGCTTGGATTCATAAGGGCGGTTCATTTGCCGGGAGATGCGAACACTAATAAAGTGGCTGTGGTAGTTGATTGGAGCAAGGTAGAGGCTCACATGGCGAAAGTACGAAAGAGTTCCCGCATCAAACTGGATGCCGACTGTCTCAGATGGATACCGTTGCTCACGCAAATCCCTAATCCGTATCAGAATCCGGAGGAGAGCGGTGACACTAGCTCGGAAATGTCTCCTACGATGGAGCCTAAGTCCGTGCCGGCCGTTGTCGAGAAGATACAAAGAGTGAAAATAAAGAAGAAGCCTCGAGGTAGGAGAGTAAGCCAAAGGAAATCAACACCTTTGAAATCGACGTCTTTGAAATCGACACCTTTGAAGTCGACACCATTGAAGTCAACTCCATTGAAGTCAACTCCATTGAAGTCAACACCATTGAAGTCAACACCGAAGGCTTCGCCGAAGACTGTAGCGTCTCACAAGGACGCGTCCAAAGAAGAGAAGGATGTTAAAGATACGAAGGAAATCAAAGCGGCAAAAGAGTTAAGAGAACCAAAAGAATCCATAAGAGAAAGTCGTAATGCCGAGAGCACGGAGAATCGGAGAGATTCTCGCGCGGAAACGGAAGCTAAGAATGTAACGTCTACGCCAAGAAACGCGCGCTCCCTCGGTTCGACAAGGAACGTAACTCCAACAGTTACGCCGAAATCGGTGCAAATGACGATGTCGAGGAGAAGGATCAGACCACCTAAAACACTTGCGTCTGAAGCAGTCATTACGCCTTTGCGAAAACGAAAACATTCCGAGAAGATTGGTGTCGAGGAGGAGAAAGAAGTCAGCAGTAGAAAAAGGACGCGAGAATCTCTAAGGGAGAAGGAAAAGGAGAGAGAGCGAGAAACTGAACGGGAGCGCGAGAAGGAAAAGGATAGAGTAAGAGAGAGGGATAGCAAAGCGAAAGAAAGGGAACTTCTGAAAGAAACCTCTGTGGATACTAGAAAAACACCCCCGAAATTGGACTCGGCGTCGAGTCCGCCTAAACCGGCCAAGAAACAATGCAAAGTGGACGATCTGTTGTTGAAAGTTACCAGCAGACAAACAAAGTTGCAGGCGAAGGAGAAGAAGGCTCTGGAAGAGACGACGCAGTGTAATGGTAAAGATGAAGTGCGAGATGTTAAGAACTCGCCACTGTCCAGGCGGGGTAGAGGCAAATCGACAGCGGAGGCTCTGAAGATGCCGCAGCTCACACCGGAATCTCCCAGCACAAAGAACAGAGCCGAAAGTCCTGTGATACCGCCTCCTTCATTGTCTCCACCGCCCGAGTCGACGAAGAACTCCTCCCCTGTTCGAAACAAGCAGCCATCGGTACCGAAGTCACCGTCCACGCAGCATCCTGGTAACAGCGATAACAAGAGCGAGAGCGCGGAGGACAATGGTTTGCCCGTTCCCACGGAAACGGAAGTGGTATCCGCGAGTTCTGGCGAATATGAGGGCGGCGATGAGGACGAGGGGGAAGAGGAAGAAATAGCCGCACCGACGCCTAAACCCGTAACGCAATTGGCCTCGCCCAGCACGGAGAACCCCGCGAAAGAACCGTGCGAAGACGAGAAAGCTGATAGTAAGATTCAGGAGAAGGAAAACGACGAAGGCTCGTTGCAGAAGACGGAAGCAGCGGATTTATCACCAGCGGTCGGCGACGATCAGACTGAAACTTTAAACGAATGTGATAAGGACTCCGAGATTGAGCGTCCAGTTTGCAGTCCGGAGGCATCGAAATCAGTACCTGAACCAGTTGCTTCACCAAAAGAGGAGGAAGTCGAGAAGTCGGAGAGCAGCGTTACGCCGAAGAAGGATGGCGGTGATAGCCCTCCCAAAGAAGAGCTCGTTCCCGAAACGCCCATGGATACCAAAATTGATCTGTCGCGACCGAAAATAGAACCTTTGCCCACGGAGAAGAAGGACACGTGCGCTCTCAACGTGACGGTGACGTCGGAAGCTGAGCCTCTCACGCCGCAGGAGAAACCGTTGCCCACTGTGGAGCATCAGGATACGACCTTGCAGTTACAAAATCAAACGGAGGAGTTGAAACAGCATTCGCCTGAGAGCGGCAAGACTACGCCGCATCTGGAGAATCCGGGCTCGGTGAAGAGAACGCCGCCCTCGCAACCGGATCTGCCGTCCATGGGAGTCTACACACCAGACTCAACGACTAACTCCGTGCACTCGCTGCACTACAGCCAGTGCGACCTGGATGTGAGTCAGTTGGGCCTGGAGTCGCCCACTTCCATAGCCAGCGATCTTGCGTCGCAAAACAGCGTGGAGAGGCCGCCCAGTGTTCTACCGTCTATCTCGTCGTCCGCGAGTGGTCCCGGTCCGATCTCGGTCTCTATGCAAATTGCGACACCGGTCACGTCGTCGGTGCCGGTGAATATGCCGCAACAAGTGCAGTACGCCGACTGCTCGATGTCACAGCATACGCCACCGGCTCATCACCCGAGCATCCATCCGATGCATCAGCCACACACCCCGCAATCTCTCCAGCAACCGCGTACTCCGCAGAGCATCCCGACTCAGAGCCCGCAGCCACTTCCGCAGAGTCATACGCCGCAACCATTGCCGCAATCGCACACGCCGCAGAGTATACCTACGCATAGTCCGCAGCCGTTACCACAGAGTCACACGCCGCAGCCGTTGCCCCAGTCGCACACGCCGCAGCCGATGCAGCTGTCGCTGGCGCAGAGTCAAGGCATGGCGCACGGTCAATCTCAACAGAGCCAGTCGCAGCAGCAACAGCAACAGCAACCTGCGCATCAGCAGCAGCCGCAACCGCAGCAAACTCAACAATCTCAGTCGCACAGCAAGCGCGCTAGCGGATCGCAGACCACGCACAGATCCAGGTCTACGCAGCAGAGCAGCAGGTCGCATCGGGGCACTCCGCCGACGTCTCACACCAGCCAGACCTCCCAGCACAGCGCTGCGACGTCGCAGACCAGTCACAGCAGCAGCACCGTGGCGCACACGACGCACATCGCGGTGCCGCCTCAGTATCAGCAGTCTCCGTCGTCGATGAGCGTGCCCCCGACGGTGCATTCGCACTCGCATACCCCACACGCGCACTCGCACAACATGGCGGTGATCTCGCAGGGCAATTACATGGCGGTGGCGGCAAGCTCGCAGGCCTTCCCCACGCAGAATACCTATGTGATCCAGCATCGCAGCGGTCGTTCTGTTGCGCCGACGCCCTGCACCACCGCCACAAACTTCTATATACAGACGAGCGCGATGCCACCTCACTCACATACCTCGGCACCGACCCCGCTTTCCGCCTCCGGTGGCAATCATCAGACCACCAATTCGTGCAGTCTGGCCAAGTTACAGCAACTGACCAACGGTCTGGAGATGATACCGCCTACGCCGCCGCCGGCGATGAACCTCACGCCGCCGCCGCCCATCCCACACACCATGACACCACCGCAGACATCGCGGCAGCTACCGACGCCACCTCAGGTCGGACCCCTGGGTTACCCGAAGAACTATTACAACAGTGTGTCCGGCACCCCCGGGCCACCCGGCCGGTCCACCTCGCGCTCCGCGAACAATATGCCGTCGCTCACGCAGGCGTATCCCAGCGAGAGCCTCTACCGCCAGACCCTCGACCCGGGCGGCACCTGCCCGCAGATGCAGAGCGCCGCGAGCCGCGTCAGCCCGAATGTCGCCCTCAACACGAATCTCATGGCAGCCACCCCGTACGGTTATCGGGTAACGCAACCGACGGGCAGCTATATGAATCAGGCGCAGGCACTCGGCGGTTTCATGAACCAGAGTCAGCTACCGGTTGGCGTAGTGAACGTACCGGCGCCGTATCCACAGGACCCGCATCAGCAAAATCCGGCGGCTGTCTACACCACGTACCATGGCTACATCAACGGTGGCCTCATGCAGCCCCTCAACAGCTCCATGAGGCCGCGCTAGCCGTCGCAATCGTCGCCTGCTCCGACTGGATCAATCTCTCTCGGCGTTCCAACGGACGGACGAGCCTCTCCGCGCGACAAGTTAATGCTCTCTTCTATACGACCATCGATGGCGACCCATCTTGGATTTCCCGCTACGTGACCGACGCCGCGGGCACTGGTACACTTCCCCGCCCATTCGCTGCCTTCATCAGCTCAGTTCGCGCACCAGATTTGCTCGAGTCTTCTCGTCACACTGATTCGTTTGCGTCAGCGCAATGATCTTTTTCCGATCTAGGTACTCCACAGAGCCTTCGAAGATGATGATACTCGTTGCTCGACTGGCGGACAGCAAACACGACATAGCGTCGATATACCGCGATGGACAGAGTGCGGCAGATCGCGAGAGAACTCAATGACGCACTTGTAACAGAAGCGGAATATCCATGTTCGGCAAACCGTTCGTTCAAACATACAATTGTGTATTTTAGTTCTTTATCCTCGACCCAGTAAAGTATATTCGCGAATCATTAGTGTATTAGCGTGTGTCTTGTATACGCCAGTACGTCGGAGATCGCTGCGCGAATATACAATGCCCATTGTACTGTTTTAACTGCACGTTCAATTTCAGAAAGACAGAAGGGGGAAAGGTGAGGGAGAATAATCGATAATTGATAGGATTCCACTCCGCTCACGCTCTTCGACAGCGGGACGTTTCTTTCCTCCGTGCTGGAGGAAGGCTCGTATTAAACTGATTCTTAACTTGTCGACAAAGATTGCACACAAGGTACAATTTAATCATAGTTATCGATCGGTGATTCTTTGAAGGCACGAGTTCGTATACTTGTGCGTTTAAATTAGAAAAAAAAGGGAAGGAAGACGAGACGTTGTCTTGGACGGATTAATTTCGGTCGGCCAAGATACCAATGCCCTTCATCTCTACTTTGAAAGAAGGAAAGAAAGAAAAGTGGGGGGGGGGGAGTAAAAAAAATTGCGGACACCTATTTTTAGTAGGGCATTCCTTCGCGAAACCACAACAGTGTTACGTTTTATGTATTTATATATATATATAAATATAAATATATATAAATATATTTACGAATAATATTCTGTTTGATATTATATTGTTGAACATTGTTGTTTAAGTTGGCACACTTGTACTTTACTGTATCATAAAGAAAAAAAAAGTAACTGCGTAACTGCTATGATAATCCTCATTGTATTATTACGGAAGTCGATTAATTCTCACCGACATCGCCTCACCAGTGTAAAATCGTCAATCTCGATCGTCAACGCCATCGTTTACATAATTTTTATCACTTGTTATCATTATTATATTTATCAATAATAATTGACTATTGTGACAGATGATGAAACATTGCACGTACACAAAACAATGTATACTCGCGCGCGCACACACACACACACACACACACACTCGCACATTCACATTCACACACACACGCACACACAAACACAAAGTGGATACAACTACATAATCATACATTATATTTTAATTTTCGCATATACGATGTCACGCCTTTGTTCGATATTCATTATTGTATGTTTTTATTATGTAATATCGCGAGAGGGTAGCTCTAGTTTCGGAAAGAATAACGGAGCGCGCAATCAGGCCCTTCCACGAAGCGTCGCGAGACTCGTGCCGAAATTATTTTTTGTATCGAAATCGCGAGAGAAAGCGTGCGCGTACGTCGATTTCCCTTCGCGAAGTGAAGGAAAGAGGAACAATGGTAGCGTGAACGCGTTACCATGAACACATTGCCCCGAAACCGCGTAATTTCCCTCCCTCGTTGTGGGCGACGCTTCGCGGAACGGTCGTGACGATAACAAAAAATAATATATTTATGGTACGAAACGTTACGAGTTTAATTTTTTCAGACGAGAGAACGAAAAAAACGAAAGAAAAACGGCTGACCGCCTAGATTAGAGTATAATTAAATGATAAAATAATTAATAATGTATAAAAATACATCAATATTTATTGTACATAGATCTAAAAAAAAGGACTACTAACAAATAAAAAAGAAATCAAAAATACGTCATTATGTCTTCGATCGTTTCCAGGTGCCTTTATATGACGATGTAATGTGTAGATTTATCTTGCGCGGATTCCTCGACAAGCTTTGTTACTTCATCCTGGACATAGGAATGCAATCAGATCTCTAGCTTGTATTTGAACAATACTGAGCAAAGATGAAATATGTCCATAATTTGTTACGTTCTTATACTTGATTATTAGATTATATAAAAGTATGGTTTCTTTTGAACCCTATAATTTTATGGACTCTGTTCACTTTTGTCTTTTGAAGTTGATTGTAATTTACTGCAACATACTCTTGCTCTTTTCCACGGATTACCTCGAACGTTTGGACGAACGTTTTCTCTTTCGTTTCCTCTCCTGGCGCCGTTTCTTCTCCTCGTTGGCGAGATCCACATACTTTTGCCTTTGTTCGAGAGTCATCCGGGACCACAATTTACCCGCGGCTCGTGCTATCACGGTGACATGCTCATTTGGCTTCTTGCTGCGAAGTTGCAGGAAGAAAATGATGAAGGGGTTCGTCGCTCGAGGCCAGACGTGCGTATTCTGCGAACTTTGACCGGCGGCTCTGCCGCTTCCGTTCGCCGGTTGTCTACCTTTTCCGGTATCTGCGCTACGTGAAAGGCAAAACTGCAAAGTATGCTTTTGCGTGCTCTATTCATCTCAATAAGTTTCAACACCTACGTTCTGTATCACTACGTCAGAAGGAAGCAATTCTTGCGGTTTTTAGTTCATATAAATAATTGTTAATTCGGGAAGTCTTTCTATAAAAATTGTATGCATGCTTTTTTCCATGGATATAAATTGCAAGCAAATCATGCGCACACTTTTCATCGCTTTCGACATAAAAATTCAAAGTGATTCATGTGAATCAGTGACTCGCGCGAGCCTGTGCTCGTATGCCAGATGAATCAGGAATCCGTAAATATCAGGAACGCGGGGTTACATGGAATCAGATGTCGCTTCGTCATAAAGTAGAAATTATCTTACTTGCAGCGACCCTCTTTCCGGTCCTTCTGATTCTTTGAGGGTTGCGCAGAGTTGGCGTTCCCCATTTTCGTCTCACCTTACGGAAGCGTCGACGACTGCCTCGACAATTTAGCGTTTACTTGATAATTTATTATTTATCATTCACACCGGCCCCGACCCGGTGATTTTGCTCAGGGACAGTTGTCACGTTGACATTTGTATCGCGAAAGACCGTCCACTGTTTTTCAAAAGACAAACACGACTCTGGTGTCGCTCACATCAGCATTACAAGAGCGAAATCATTCGTCCATTTCCACCGATGCAGATTAACTTTGATCTCGGTTTAACTTACTTTTTATCTTTTTCTAGTTTCAGAAATTGGAAAAAGATAAAGACTTAGTTAAGTGATTAAAAATAGTCTGCATTGGTAGAAATGGACATGGGTTGGATGTGATCAATTGAATCAATTCTGCACGTGCCTCTATCTTATCCTTCTCACTTGTATGTACGTAATAATAAATGTACCGCAATGTACAATGTACAGTGGAGGATAATAAGTATACGATTGAACAGAGTTGAAATGTTACATGCAAAGTGCGAGGCACCAGCATAAACTACTGCTATGAAGCTCATACAATAATAAAAGAAGTGGAATTAAATATGTATGCTGGACGCAGATACTATAAAGATAGAAATAACGGTATAAAACTTGATGCAAGATATGCAGCACGCTCGCAATAACATGCAACAAATCCTTGTGACGTGTACACAAACGGGAGAAAAATACGTACGCAAAATCAGACCGAAAACATCATTGTTGAAATAGCGATACAGTTTGAGAACTTGATTAAAATTTTCTAGAAGTCAGTTAGGAAGCCGGCAAACAGAAAAGAGACATCGGCGGACCGAGAGGACGACGAAGATTTAATACAACTTTTTATTAACAATAGTAACAATTGTTATAATTGAGAAACGTAGTCCCCTATCCTTGTATATAAAATTCACGTTTCTCGCGCTTAATCTTCTTAAATTTCTTATTAATTAAATTCAGCTATGATACACAAACTTACAAAAATTCTAGATCTATTATCGAGCAGGATCTATAGAAATTTACGTTCTATTTAATACGCTTTGTAGTATAAATATTGTTATTTTTACATTATGCGTAAAACTTAAGGCGATTTTTGGGTACATATACCGAAGCGTACACTCGGCGTCATGAATGCTTTTACACCTGAAAACAGCCGTTAAGTTCAATATATTCCGATAGAAAAATTCATTTTATTAAAATAGATTTTCCTATCGCTCTCTTTAGCGTCTTTCTTCAGGTGTAAACCCATACAGCACCAAAGCTTTCAGAAATATTTCAGAAAACATTGTTGCAATGTTGCAATGTTGCAATGTTTCTGAAATGTTTCTGAAAGCTTTGGTGCTGTATGGGAAAGCATTCATGACGCGTACACTTTGGTATATGTACCAAGCAGTCGGCAAAAAATCGCCTACAGTATGAGAGATTACAATTCCCCGCCGGCCTGCGCCGCCTTCTTCGGTTTCTTGTTTCTGCTACGCTTGTCGGGGCAGTAACAAGCCTGCTTCTGGGCGTCGAGAAAGCTCTTGCAACCCAGCGCGGTCGTCCCCGTGAACAGGGCTTTCGCCGCAGCTTTGCACGTGTTGACGATGCTGATGCCGGTGGTTTGATACGTGTCGCAATATCTGTAGAGGCATCGCTTGAATTCCAGATCGCACTTCTCCTTGTCCGTGTTACAAGTATCGTAGCAAATGTCGTGGAGGTCGCAGCACTTGGTCATTTCGGCGAGCGGAAGGTATTCCTGGTTCACCTGCGGATATTCGTGACAATTTGTAACGCGATGTAACGAAGAGCGTAGCGGGCAAGATTTATAAAAATCGCTCGGCCACTTATCGCTCGTCTATCATCTCGGGGAGAGACACCGACCTGGATACCGAGGGAACCGCATCCGTCGCTCTGCGGCTTGTGATTCCAGTCAGCCTTCGGCGTGGATCCTGAAACGATTTGAATAATGCGCCACTCGTACGGTCGCGACACCGCTCGTCCAATCGTGGCGCACCATGTCAGCCGTCGGGCGCTCGCATTGGTGCACTCGCGGGGGAACAAACGAGGAATCTTACATTTGTCGTTACACTTTCTTCTGCAACGCGCGGCGCTTCTGCGATCGATTTTTACTACGGAAGGCGCGATAAAATCGGAAAGGGCATTCTGCCGTGTTCGATCGAGGCGCAACAATTACGTCCATTTCCATCAGCGCGGAATAACTTTAATCTAGGCCTGACTTACTTTTCATCCTTTTCTAGTTTAAAAAAAATTAAGAAAAGATGAAAAGATTGAATCGGGACTACGTTAATCTACATTTGTAGAAGTGGGCATTGGCGGGGCGACCTCGACTAAGCTCCGATTAACCTGATCGTCGATCGTGGCTCGGTTTCACCAAACGTTGCTTAACTTTAATCTTAGTTTAATTCCAGTTTGTCTCTTTCTAGAGTCTAGAGTAACAGTTGGAAAGAGGCGAAGGAAACGGACAAAATAGTTAACCTCTCAATGCAGAAAGATCGATCAAGAGCAATGAATTAATAGAAATTCTGCCGGCCGAGTATCGATTCAGCTAATCCAGCCTACAAAATCTAAAAAGACGCCTAAGGGGAAAGAGAAGAAACGGGGTGCAGAAGGTGCAATCAAAAGCCAGGGAGGCCCGCGCGGATCGACCAATAGCGGCGCGCCGTCGGGAGATAACCTGATAGCCGCGACGTTGACAGACGAGATCGCGGGAATCGGGATTCGCGGGTTCCCTCCGCTTTTCCGGCGGATACGCACCGTCGGGACACTTGAAGACGCAGTTCTCCTCCACGGCGGCGTCGAACACCTCGTGTATGTCCTTGATCCTCTTCGCCACGGTGATGGCATTGGCGAAGAGGTCCTGGAAGACCGTCTCCGCCGCCAGCACGGCGTCCCGTAGATTCGTCAGCAGCCCCGAGCCGTAGCCGGACCAGGCGTACGCCAGGAATGTCAGCGCGTAGATAATAATTTTGCGATACCGCGTCAGATCCATCTCTCTGTCCTCTTGCGCCTCAGATCGATCAGTCCGGACCGACGCGATCGGACGGCTCCCGCCGGACTGCGAGTATTTTTAGACTGGCATGTGTGCGCCCACACTGCCCACCGTCGCCACCGAGGTGGACACGTGGCGCGCGGTGCCCCGTGTATCGACACCGTCGACTCGATTGCCTCACGTCTCGTCTTGTTTACACTTTTTCACCATTTCCGCGACGAGTTTGATTAAATCGGCGATTTGCGCGAGGGGAACGGGGTGCAGAAAGGGTAGCTGACGAAAAACGACGGGAGTCCTTTGGACATACCTCGTAGTATCGCGCACGAGACACTTGTAGCTTTCCATTTCGTGCCGATGCCTAATTATAATCGTAATACAACTAATAAACGGTTGCGGGACTTCCTTGTGTAGAATCTACGTGCTAATTTTTTCCTTGGTCGCAGTTGGTCTCGAAGACGACTCAGACAGCGTTGCAATTAATTACGATTAACTCGTCGGCAATACGGCTTTCGTTAATAGAGCTGGTGTTGTCGCTTTCCTTCTGCTTCGCGAGAAGAAGCTTAGGGGATTAAGGATAATAAATTGAGAAATCTACCTGCGCTTTTTGCCGTAAGAGCCGTTCAGCCGAGCTCGTCGAACGAATTTCCGAGTCGAGTCGGAAACCATTCTAAACGCAATCAGTTCGACTTTAACTGTTTCTATACCCGGGGAAAAAAGGCATGTATCCAATTTTATCTAATTGCATCGAATGCTGTCGGATATGATAAAATTTGATCAGATGATATCCCAATTTTAATGCGTCCACTTATATCAAATCAAACGTGGTCGGATATAGTCAGATGTTTATACCGTTTCTTCTCCGACTATATTTGGTGGAAACGAGATGGGAATCGAAATCCGTACTTCTTTCCTCTCTTGCGGCATTAGCATAGACATTTTATTTATTGCGATATAGAACAGATTACTCCTTTTGTTACGAACGAATTATTTGCAGCTGATCACAAGACGCTTCGGTGGTGAAGATTTAAAATTTTTTTTCGAGCTCGCCACTCTCGTACAGTTTCTTCACGTCGGTACCGCCTCCTAAGCACTCCCCGTTGAGGAATACTCGGGGCACTGTCCTGGCACCGGTTATCTCGCCCAGCAAGTCTTGTATCTCCTGCGCATCCTCCCTGTCGTCCAACTCTATCGCCGTGTACGTCTTCTTCAGCGAGTCGAACACCTGCACAAGAGTTCGATTAGGCCGACCAAGACGGATAAATAAATAAGAAGTTGGTCTCTCGATAAGTAAACCAGCAACAATTTGTCAACTAACATTATTGATAATAATAGACGGTCAATTGTTAATCTTGTCTAAATTTATAACTGCATTGTTAGAAGACACGACATTCTTTCAGAAATCCCAGATTGACGTGAAAAGGGCAGTTTTTAATATTTGCAACACGTTGATGAAATCACGAAAAACTGTGATATACTTGAAATGGCTGAGACATCGGATTGAAAATAAAAGTCGATTAGTTCTTCAAGAAGAAAATCGAGATCCGTCGCGAAAGCAAGCGCAAATAGTGACAAATACCTTCTTGGCCATGTTGCAGTAAGGACAGTACGTTTTGGAGAATATTACGATCGAGTCCTTCGCGATCAATTCGGTGACGAAATCTCGGGTCGAAGGCATGATGGCTCTTTTTGTACTGGAAACCGAACCCATTCTATTGAGCTAAAGGGACATCATTCCACTCGATTATGCCTCGCACGTGTTCGCGCAAACGTACACAATTCAGTTGCGCGAGATTCGAATCGCGTCCGATGTCCGGAAACCGACAGGGGAGAACTCGCGTTCTCTGCGAGCCTCTGGTAATAATAGATGTCACTCATTCTACAAGTCTCATTATTGGATATCGGACATGGCTTGAATCGATCACCCACCCAGGTAGAATCCACATCATGATGACGTCGTCGTGACTTTATTCATCGCTCAAAAGTTATACTGACATCGCCTCGACGTCACTCCGATGTCATCATGAGCCCAGATAGCCAAATCTGCCTGAACAGATTTCGTCGAATGCCCACTACAAATGTTGAAGGCAGAAAGACTGCAGATCACAGACAGGAACTGATACATTCGACATGTTGCCAGCGTGTCAGCAGAAATACAACAAAAATCTGCTGCAGTTTCTGCCGACAATCTATTAACAGCGTATGTTTTACAGACTCTGTTGCCAAAACAAAAGCCAAATGCGGACACAGATGGCTATGGTTTTGGCGTGACTTTCTGGTGAATCTGCTGGCAATTTGCTAACATTTTGCTGACTGGACTCGCTCTACCTGGGCAGTCGCTCTTCCGACAATTGTGAGTCGCAAATGCATGCAACATTCATATTTCACGTTAACAACGTCTGAGGCTACTATTACACGTATTTGTCGTACTACAAATTTCTCAAGCTCGTTGATTGGCCTGCAGAATAGAAAAGCCCTCGAGTCTCTAGAAAAATGTTCCATTCTGCAGTCAACATGCTCGAATGATTTATCGTGCGACAAGTGTATTACCAGCCTAAGCAAATATTAATTACAAAACTACGAGGAAAGAGACCAGTTAGATCTTAGATCATCTCTTTAATCATGCCCTTCTTTATCGGAGCAAAACGTAACTGCGTTTCGATCGCGCGGCTTGCGCGAGCCCGTATTTACACCGTCAGCACACACACGTGACGGTTTTGACAAGCCTCATAACCTCCAAGTCGGCCGCGCTATCTAAATTATTCATACGAAAGATTGACAGTTTCGACCTGCGAACTAGTTATTTCGCGCAGTTGATTTTACTACGGCGTTTCGCCGATTTTGGCGCAGCTGCGTGCAATTAAGGGCAATTTCTGTCTTTCGAGCCCACCGATCCGGTCAGTGTAAAAAGAAAGCGGTAATCATCAGCGAGAGAGAGAGACAGAGAGACGACGGCGAGTATCCTGCGTAAGGGAAGCAACACGCGCGCGAGGCACACGAGAGAGCGCAAAAGAATCTCGACAATGATTGATGTATTGTTTGTATGTGATGCAGGTAGGTGGTTAACGGTACGTGGCAAACGTCAAAGCGAGCGGAGGCTCCGCTCGTTCGCGCTCGTTCGGATTCGCCCTTACCTCCAACTGCAATCGACGCCGCTTTACGGATTTAAACGAGCAGTACGAGGACACGTCACCGCGGGACTCAACTGCCAGTTAGACGGCCGATAAAGATACAGAACGTAAATCCGTTTGTTGTAGATATAAAAGTCACGCGGTTGCTGCGACCGATAGGGTTTTGCGGTTAACGTTAAGCCCCGTGCGCACGGGGCGTCATCGGCAAGCGATGTCGCGATTGGGGAAAGTCGTGGATGTACAGTTCGTGGAAATGGGGGGGGGGGGGGGGATCGAGCTCCGATCGACGTAATTGGCGACCAACTGGTTAACTAACGTCCGTTAAGTCCATGTTAGCGAACCGGCAAATGTCCGTAAATTGAAAATTAACGTGTAAATTGATTTTACTCTTGGCTCAACTTACCTTGTCTTTCTCCATTTCTTAAAATTAGAAAAACAAGTTGAGTTTAAACCGAGATTAAAGTTAATCTACGGTGGAAACCCGGTAAAAAAGTTTTCAAGCGCGAACATGCATAAATACAGGGTGTCGGATTCGATTTGGACCACTCCAAAGATTATAGTAGATAATTGGGTCAAACTGAGAAGAAAAGTTACCCAGTTATATCTCCTTCCAACTGTTCCCTTAGAAAGAGACAAAGTCGCTCACTTTTAACATTTTCATATTGGGCTTGTTTTCTGTTCCTGCACTGGTGAACTAGTGCAATAAATTGGAGTAAGACAAGTATATTTTTTCTCATTCTAGCTTACTGCACTAGTTCACCAGTGCAGGAACAGAAAACAAGCCCTTTGACACCCTAGATAAGAATAGCTGTTGGAATTTTCGGAAATTTCAGTCCCGCCGACCGTACTTTTCCCGCGGTTTCCGAGAGACCGCTCTGACTTTCAGGAGTCGCGAAAATTTAGCCGGATTTGTTGAGCGGGAAGGCGACCGCAGCCACGGACCTGCAATATACATATATATATACATATATAAACGACGTCACATCTCCAACACATTGGCACACGACGTATCGACTAATCGAACGTCGGCGCTTGAATTGCGAGTCTCGTGGATCGACGGCCGTCGACGGCAAGTCGATGGTTGGAGGTCGGCGGGTGGTGGGAAGTGGCTGGCTCGACGTGACGGACCTTCGCAAACGTCTGCTGATCGAATTTGCCCGGCCGCGCTGCACGAGTCCCTTTTGGCGTCCCGTTATGGCTTAACGGCGAGATCGCGCGAGGATGAGCAGAGCCGCGAGGCCCGCGGGCCCCTGCAGGGGCGGCCTGTACGTCGTCGAGGGCGAGGTATGCCTCCTGGTGACGGCGATGCGACGTGGTGCCCGATGGTCGTCGCACTCCCACCAGGTTAGAGCGAAACTCACTTCGTTTTCCGTCTTACGAACCGTCCCCGCGAGCGAGACGATTGTCATCGGCGCTTTGGGCGTACACGTCTGTCATTGCGCCTAATCGAATCAAACAGGTTGTAGAAATTCCACTTCGTCAGGCGCTTCAAACTCGACAGTGACGTGGACGTGAACGAATCGCGAGGACAGTCTTCCGCAATTGCGTGTATAATTTCACTTCCAGGATGACGATCAGGACACTCTCATGAAGGGCTTGAGCACCCTGAAGGAGGTGTTGAACGACCACCGGGATCTATCCCAGTTGGAGCCCGCAGTATTTCTCACCCCCTTCCTGGAAATCATTAGATCTGAAGAAACTACGGGGCCGGTGACTAGTCTAGCGCTATCTGCCGTTAATAAGATAATTTCTTACGGGCTTGTTGGTTAGTCTCGATCACTGTGACAGCGAGCGGCCGTTTTCTTTTTATTCTGTGACGTAACATATGTCGCCTTTTAGATTCCAATCATCCTGCCGTAGCCACCTGCGTAGAGGCCATAGCGGATGCTGTCACGCACGCGAGGTTTGTGGGTGCCGATGCGTCCGGCGACGGGGTGGTCCTCATGAGAGTCCTGCAAGTTTTGAGAGCCCTCATGCTGTCGCCCGCCGGCGATTATCTCTCAAACGAGAGTGTATGCGAAATTATGCTGAGTTGCTTTAGGATATGTTTTGAGACACGACTTAGCGGTGAGTTGCGGCGGTCTCGTGTTTCCGCTGACCAGTTGCGAGAGTGTGTCGTAATGAGGTGTCTTTGCAGAAATACTTAGAAAAACGGCGGAGCACTGTCTGCGGGATATGGTTCAACATTTGTTCACCAGGTTACCTCAGTTCGTTGACGATACCAGAAACGTGCCCAACATGAAAGTAAGTTTTGTATATGTGTGATCTTTGAGTATACGTACATGTGAGATATAACGTTCTGTACACGACGTTTGACAGAAAATGAGAACAAACAGCATAGAGAATAGTCGTAGCAAGAATCGCAAGCACAAAAGCTACGCGAAGCAAAAGTCCAAGTCTGTCACGGATGACATTGACGAGAAGGAGTCAAATATTTCGAGCGCAGTTGACAAAATACGGGCCAACCACTTGGCCACCACACCTGTCTCACCAGTCGGCAATATCGTTGACATGCAGGGCTCGTTAAATCATGGAAGCGTTGATAAGAGTGAGGACGAAAAGAGCGAGAAGAACAAAGTTAACATTAGCAAAGATAGTACTAAAGATGGAAACGATTGTATCAAAGCGGCAGATAGTCAGGAGGCTAGTAAGAAACAGGAGATCGATAAAGACGGGAGCAATAGAGACGTTAAGAGCGAGACAGAAACGACCGAGGCGAATGACCCGCCTGAAAATATTGATGTGGAGAACAAAGGTGCTGCTTTAGGTGAAAGTAAAAGCGTGGAGAAGGAAGATGCGGCTGATCGCAAGATCACAGATGAATCCGAATCTACCCTTAAGCAATCCACCTCGGAAAATCAAGGTTCTTGTTCTTTGCGCCACTTTAAAATAAATTTTAATAATTTCCACGTCTTTATCTTTCGAATAATTGTGCAGGTGACGAGGAGAAAAGCATCGATTCAGCGCAATCTCCGACTGGTAGCGTGGAAGACTTGTCGATAGACGAAAATGTGTCTAGGGCGTCTAAAGTGAAGGAGTCTGAGCAAGTCGAGGAGTATGTGAACAGTCAAGGTGTCCGATTTATTCCGTTGCAACAGCGGGCGCCGTACGGCGCGTTGTGCGTTCGCGAATTGTTCAGATTTCTCATTTCTCTATGCAGTCCTCTTGACAAACAGAACAATGAAATTATGACCCACTTGGGTCTTAGCTTATTGCAAGTAGCGTTGGAGATCGCAGCCGACGCTCTGTCTAATTTCTCGTCTCTGCTTGCGCTCGCAAAGGACGACTTGTGTAAAAATCTAATCTTGGTAAGAGCAACTAAATTAACTTGCTTTAAAATCGTTCATTAATAAAGAAATGCAATAAGCATTTGTGTTTATGTATCAGCTACTTGGAACGGACAGATTGTCGATCCTCGGTGTAAATCTTCAAGTATCGTACTTGCTGTTTGAGTCGCAAAGGGAGCACCTAAAATTTCAACTGGAACATTATTTAATTAAATTAATGGAAATAGTTGTCTCCGAATCTAGTAGAATATCGTACGAGCAACGGGAATTAGCGCTTGGTACGTTTTAATTTTATAGCAGTAAATAATTGTGCGTCACACATCGACAGCGTAAATTTTTATTTCCATAATTTGCAGAGGCTGTAGTAAGATTGTGGAGAATACCCGGTTTGCCTGCTGAGTTATATTTAAATTACGATTGCGGACTTTACTCCACAAACTTGTACGAGGAACTTATGAAAATGTTTTCCAAGGTATATTTCTTCATATATGTTTATATATCAAAATCTAATTGAAATGTATAGAGTCTTTATGTTTTAACAATTTTCTCTTAGAATGTTTCTTTGCCAATGATCACTGGTATGCATACCATGCAACTGATTTCTCTGGACGCCATAATAATGCTGATCGTCGGCATGGAGATTCGTTGCAAAGGCTGCAAGGAATTGTGCAAGCCGTCGCGTCACGAGGCATCGTCAAATCTACCCACGCGTGAAGATCTGCTCGCTATAAAATCGAACAAGCGGGTAGGTACGCGTTTTTGACTTAGCTCAACTATGACGTACCAAATTTCTCTCTGTCATTTCCAGTGGTTGGTTCTCGGCACGGAAAAGTTCAACGAGAATCCGCGGGAGGGTATCGCAAAACTTACGGAGCACGGTCTGCTAGGTGGTACTCCAGGCCACTCGGATCCTGAAAAGGTTGCGAAACTTCTAAGGGAGAATCCTGGTTTGGATAAGAAAGCGATCGGCGAGTACATCAGCAAGAAAGAAAACAAGATCATTCTCAATTACTTCGTGCACAATTTTGACTTGAGAAATACCCGAATCGATCAGGCTCTGCGACTTTACTTGGAATCGTTCAGATTACCTGGGGAAGCCCCTCTTATATCTCTTCTACTCGAGAAATTTGCCGAGCATTGGCATGTGCGTACACACATATTCTAGTATTTATTAGAAATAACGTGGGTGCGAAGATGGAATAACAAAATGTTGCTGTGTTTAGGATAGCAATGGTAGACCTTTCGCTTCGGCCGATGCCGCCTTCACGTTAGCTTACGCGGTGATCATGTTAAATGTCGATCAACATAATTATAACGTAAAGAGGCAAAACAATCCCATGACTGCCGACGAATTTAAGAGAAATTTGAAGAAAGTTAATGGCGATACCGATTTCGATCAGGATATGCTCGATGAGATATATACTTCAATTAAGTAAGCGTTACAAATCTTTAAATTGGACGCAGACCAAGCGCGAATGTTATTCCAATTGTACATATTATTTATGTCTGTTATGTCTGCAGAGGGGAGGAAATCGTAATGCCGGCCGAACAAACTGGGCTAGTAAAAGAAAATTATTTATGGAAGGTTTTACTGAGAAGAGGCTTCGGGCTTGAAAGTGTATACTTGAAAGTAGGTAATTCCGGCGAGTTCATCGATAAGGACTTAGCTGAACATGCGTGGGGTCCTATTGTGAGTGCTCTTTGCCGGGCTTATGATAAAGCACCGGACAGATCGTTGCAACTTAAAGTCGCTCATACGTTCCTCAGGTTTGTTTATACTTTTGCCACTTACGACGAGTGGATTTTTATATTAGCTACAGCTTCGCATTCTTTTCTTTCAGTTGCGCGGCGATCAGTGCTTACCATAGCATGTGCGGTGACTTGGATACGCTCATAGTGAGCCTCTGCAAGTTCACGGGTCTGATAATCGGAGGGAAATCCGAGCAAGTGGTCTCACATCTCGGCGGAAGTCCGAAGTCTCAAATGGCCGCTTGCACCCTCTTCAAGATCACGCGTCAACATGGGAATGCCTTGAGAGCGTCTTGGAAAAACATCATCGATTGTTTGCAGTCGCTCTACGAGGCGAGATTGTTGCCGAAAAATCTTACGGAGGCGGAAGACTTCATCCATCCCTCCGGCAAAATATCTCTGCTTCGGGAACCGATCACGCCCAAGAGTCCCCCGGGTGATCAAGGGATACTTTCCACCTTTTATTCCTATATCGCTATGGATACGTCACGTCTGCCGCATCCCCCCGAGGCGACGCGGAAGAAGGCTATGGAGTTTATTGCCAGTTGTTGTCTCAAGGAAATCATAGAAGAGAGTAAATTCTTTCAGGTAAATTGACGATCATTAGGACAGTTAACCCTGAAACACGCTGTACATTTTAACCATTTCCATCACTTTGCAGAGTGAATCGCTCAATTCTCTCGTTGGTGCTTTGGTGTCGGTGAATCCTAACGATGAAGATATATCTATATTTCTCTTGGAACTATTGCTAGAAGTAACTATACAGAATCGTGACAGAGTAACGTGCATCTGGCCCGTGGTCCAGAGTCACTTGGATCATTTGTTAACGGTGGCGGCGCGCGAGAACCATCCCTATTTACTCGAGAGAGTGGCCGTGGGCATGCTCAGATTGGCAATCAGGCTCTTACGCGGAGAGAAGTTTGCGTGTCTATCTCCTCTACTACCTCTGACCCACTTGCCGTCCGCGACTACCGCGCCTTTGGCTCGACAGATCGCCTACGGTTTGTTCGAGCTGCTGAAGACAGGCGCCGCGAACATCAACAGCGCGGAGGACTGGAAGGTGGTGTTTAGTCTGCTGGAGTGCGCGGGTGCCGGTGCATTGGCGCCTAAGCGCTCCAACACGGTCCTAGATGAAACGGTGAACGCTCGGCCGTCGGTCTTGGACCCAAGACCTATCAGTCCAGTGCCGGAATGGGTGCTGGTGTCGCCAACTGGCACCGAGGCACCGCTTCCCGTGGCCGCCGACACGATAGTGCTGGCTCGTGATCTACAGCCGCACGACTCGGTGGCGTTCGTCAAGTGTTGCGAGAGCCTCAACTTCCTGGTTGACGAACGCGATATGGTGCACGTGACGCCCTTCAACTTCGATCTGTGCGTCAATTGCGTAAGAACGTTCGCCGAGGCGGTACTGCAGTGCGCAGGCAAGCGGAACAGAGTGTGCAACTCCGCGGAGGAGTCCGCCGGTTATCAACAAAGCCCGGTACAGCTGCTGGACCTGATGCACACGCTGCACACGAGAATTGCACAGGTGTTCCGATTGTGGGCGAAGAAAAATAACATCGACGATATTATAGGTATATCCCTGTGGCCGCAAGCCTGGCGACCGCTGCTGCAAGGTATCGCGCGACTCTGCTGCGACGCCCGCAGACCGGTGCGCACCGCGGCAATCACGTGTCTTCAAAGCACCTTGCTGGCGTACGACTTGGCGCAGCTGTCCGCGATAGAGTGGTCGCAATGTCTGGAGGAGGTGTTATTTCCGTTGCTGGCGCAATTGCTGGGTCCGATCGCATCCAACGATCCTAACGGCGTCGAGGAAACGAGAGTCAGGGCCGCGATGTTGCTCTCCAAGGTGTTTCTTCATCATCTGACCCCACTGCTGACTCTACCCGGTTTCTTGCCGCTATGGCTAACGGTGCTGGAACTTCTACGCGCGTACATGCACGCCGACAATAGCGAGCACTTGTTCGAGGCGATCCCTGAATCGTTGAAGAATATGCTGCTGGTGATGTCGTCGGCCAATATTCTTGCGCCGAGCTCCAACCTCTGGGCGCCTACGTGGCGAGCGATCGACGCGTTTCTACCGAATCTGAAAGCGGAACTATTCCCGGAGCCGCCCGTCGCGGTTCTACCGCCTTCGCAACCGTCGCCGCAACAGTCGCCGCAAGTTATCAGCTTGGTCGGCCAACAGCAGCCACTGTCTTTCCCGGGGTCTATAGCGCCGCAACCAGATAGCGCTTTCTCTTCGGCTGACGTCGAGTACTCTAACGAGAATAATGCAGACACGAGGACCGCGACACAGCGCTTGGATATTCTAAATTCTGCGCAATCCGGTGGAGTTCCGGTTCCATTACCGACATTGATGTACAACACCGAGGGCAAGGAGACGCAGCAGGTGATCACTCTAGTTAGCCAACCGGCGCTCAGTGTATCCAGTCCGGTCGCGGTGCAGCCAACAGCTCAGAGTCTCTTCGATATTTGCTACTCGGCGAACTCTCTGGCCGAGAAGATGGACGAACGACAGCAGCACCAAGGACAGGAGCAACAGCAACAGCCGGTGCCGCCGAGTGAGGGCGAGCACAATAAATTGACGACGAGCGTGGCGCCGAACGTTATTTTGACAGACGAGGATCGCGATTTGATACTCGCGATGAGAAAATACGAGGAATGGAAGCAACAGCAGGAGCAGCAACAAATGCTGATGCAGCAACAGTGCACGCAGCACGCGCAGCCGACGCAGTATCAGCACCCGGCGACGGAAAATTCTCCATACCCCTTGGATCCGCCTGAGGTGATTGGATGTCTTACATCTTAACGGGATCTCGAGTCAATCGACCTGGACGATTGACTCCTCGGAACGCATTCGCTTTGTCTCGATTAATTTAATTCTTTCGCGAGTAACTCTGAGATAACGGAATGATCAGTATATAAAGATTCGTTGATGAAACGTAAAGATGGTGTTTGGTCACGTCTTTACGCGATCGCACTTGCAATTGCGAGAAATTAATATGATAGCTATGATGGCATCTCATCGGAAAGCAATTAAATAGTTTACTCCTTTCAAGATGATAGAAGTTGTGGTAGAACGTAACCGACTATTTTGTTTGCAGACGATGTCAGTAGATCCCGCGGGGACGACGACGACGACGACGTTTAACTCCGCGGCGTATTTTAGCGAGGATCCGGCGGCGGATCTCCTCTTCGTCGTCACTAATCCTTGACCACTGTATATTTCTTATGTATAAATTGTATTATATAAAACATTTCTACAACGCGTGATAATATTCTGTGTAGAACAGTATCGAGAGTGATTGATTATAGACGAGAGATGATGAGGGAGGACGAGCGTAGTCGCAGAGTCATTGTATCTTTGGTTTGTATATTTGGGAAGCACTCATTATATACAAATTATATATATATTAATATATATACTATAACGCGTGTGTACGCGTTATTGTTAAGATTATTGTGCGTTATATAATCTTAGCAATAACAGACAATACAGTTCTCCGCACCACTCTCGACACTCGATATTGTCGTATATTTCCGTTTTCGAATCTTTTGCATCCTCAAGGACGAAAGGATCTCTTCGTTAACAAGCCAAATGCGTAGGCCAAATTATTCTTGGAAAACGATCGATCGGTTCCTTGCCATTGATGTTTCAGTCGGCGTGTTGCATGTGTTTTACGTAGTATGGTGCGTACCGTAATATCGATTCATACAAATTCCCCTTAAGCATTTAAAAATTCTACTACTACGACAGGTAAGAGAATTCTGCATGGATACATGTGTTAGACACGTACATGTTTAATGCGATTCGTAGAGAATGCTGACTTAATTGACAATGATTTCGCTAAACGAGAAACCACTGCGATTTCGGTGAGTTTTGATTTCAGGATATTGTAAATCA